AGTCTGTAATTCGTGGAATGCCGTAAAAGAAGAGATCGTGGAATGTCGGTGAGAATGGAGCAGAGGGGGATAAATCGGTATATAACGGGGGGATATAACGGGAGATCGGGATCCGGTGTATGTATATGGCAACTGAAACATTTTAATAGAAATAAAACGAACGACTTGTTTGAACCAAACACAAATCAGTTTAATCCTTAAATAAAACATAATAGTTATGTTATTTAATAATTTTAATTAAATAAATAAATAAATAGTTGGTAAGTAGTAGTAAGTGGTAAGTATAGTAATGACGGTAACAGTAGTAGTAGCAATGTAATAGTTATAAGAGCGGGTGGCAGAAAGTGGCGACAGTAGAGCGATGTTAAAGTGAGCGAGTGAAGAGTGATTGTAATAAAGTACTTCTTTATAATTAATTAAGTAATGAGGCGTTAGAGGTTACACGTAGCTACTAGACGAGAGACACAGAAGATATACACGATCATAAGTAATAATAATAATAATAATAATAATTAATAATAATAATAATAATAATAATAATAATAATAATAATGAGAGATGACGATGGCGATAATAATATAATATAACCAGAATAATAAGTCTAATCATAATACGGTAATAGTGTGAAGGAGAAGAATAATTGTTATGGCATATATAATCGTACACAATATGAGAAAAACGTCCGGAAAAACGGACGCCTCGCTGATATCGAGAGGATGCCGACGAAATACGATTCATCTCTCATGTATTCCCATTACATAGCTGCCGAGGCACACTTTCGAGTGACATTGATGCATGCCAGCACTTGTCATTTTAATTCTAGTGACGGCTTATCTGTGACAAATACACACAAGTGTATTTCAAATCGCAAATAAAACTCACTGTTCGTTCTTTCAAATAATGCAATTAACTCGAAAGATTGCTTTGTACTATTCGAATGTTATCGCAATATATTTGCTATAATAAGTTTGCTATATCCATATAATTGCTATAATCATAAGTGATGAGGGGAGACCAATCGTCGTACAAACACCCTCCGATCAGCGAGTTATCGAATTTGCGCTTATGCGCTTATGCGGCGACATTTAAATGCACGTCGACGCTTTAATTTGCACTAATGTTCGAGATCCTGCCGCCTCTCGCCGAGACTCGGCGTCCTTCATCGGGTAAGGATTCGCGCGCGAATCGACGACGGCTGTGAATAAATAAAGCAATATCTTAGAAAAAAACCACAATGCTTGCGTATGGGAGTCGCGAGACAGACTTTTCTGGAGGGAGAGGGGGGTGAATAGCATCCTCCGCTCTTCCTCGCGTCTCTCCTGACTCCCGGACTAGACACAAAAAGGTACACATAAATAGAGGACAATATACATGTGTTTACGCGTCCGTTTTGGTTTCTTTGACTAAATCTAACCCTTATTCAAGTGTCGCCTCACTTGCAATTAAGTACAATGCAAAGTTTCTCACGCTGTTTCGCGCATCGATCATTTCGCGAAATGTCAACCGCGATCAAAAACTATCTAATAGCTGTGAAAAATCGCTTGCGGGGGAAGCGGGTGTAGGAAATCACTTTGGCAAAATTATCTCTATACGATCGGAAATTATCCACGTGGTTGTGGAGAAACATATCCATGACTATCAAAGAATCATTTTGAGAAAGCGATTTCAACTACCCACAGTTATAGAGAATATTCTTGAGATCCGCCCAGAGTCTTTGGAAAAAATAGTTTCTAAAGTGACTGTAATTATTATTGGTGGATAACTGCTTCAAGATACAATTCTGTCCAAGTCATCTGTTCACAACTCAATTCATCGAGCCACTCGAAAAATACAAAAAGACCGAATCAATGATTGCGCTGCGCGAAACGAACGTGAGAAACTTCATCCGCTTGCCTCGCGTCGTTTCACTTAATTGCATACATCATCGCGTTCGCCTTCAATTTCCTCATTTTCGCTGCTAAGCATTTATCTTCTTCTTCTTCTGCGCGAAGAGAGCACGTAATATCGCACAAATGACGCGTCAGTTTGCACGTAGACTAGATGCGTAATTTTTTAATCTGATCTGAGATCGAATGTCGACCAATTTTTGTCATTAATCCGTGTATCACATACTTGTGCACCGTCCTCGAAGAATATGTAGAATGTATTTTTTCTCTTCGGAATTTCGGAGAGTCGGAAGAACATTAAATCCGCGCGTATATATATATATATATATATATATATATATATATATATATATATAAATGTATAATTGTTTCTCGAAACGAGAATCGACACTATACAGGATAAAGGCGAAATGACAAATATATAAGTCGAATGTACATCGTAAGTATGTATATGCATATGTATGTTTGTTCTTCTATTTTAAAGAACAATGCGTTTACATTAATAATCAATTGCGTAATCGTATCTACATTTTCCGTCGAAACGTGCAAAACTCGACGACGAAAAGTGTACAACTAATGCTCGTGATGCTTGAGCGACTATGCGCTTCAATTTGTGCATCTGACATATTATAAATGTGAAGTAAAAGATACAAATATACGTGAAGATTAAAGTATTTTTTTAATTTTTAATAATTTTTAATTCCTATTAAAGAGACAAAAAACCCGTTTTAAGAGATTCTTTGCGTTCGCGACAAGAATCTCTCAGAGATTGTAAAAAGACCATGAAGCCATTACGTAACATCGTAAAACATCCTCTGGGACGGTGCACCTTTGCGGAAAATTGTCAAGAGTTAGAGAATTCGATTCTGCGAAAACGCATTTTTACTATCTAAGTACGTTTTATAAAAAAAAAGAAAAGGAAAGGAAAGCGACATGTTACGCGCGTATCATCGACATGTATGAGCGGCGATGGAGACCACCTGAGTACTGACTAGCACAAGTGTTTTACATGGTTATTAGTTTACGCGGTATCGCTTCGCGATCTCTCCTCGAGACCCTTGCTGTCTATCGATCGCTCCTTGCCACCTTCGGGGAGCACAATACATACATCCCCGGCCCAGGAATAAATACGTCTCTCGTTACAAACGGGGTAACATCTCTTTTAATTAAACTAGGCTTACCTTATTAAAGTACACATACATCGTTCGAACTCTGTGAGTGCGAGCCCAGCCCCAATATCTTATTATATATCATCTCTTTCTAGCAATCTTTCGACTCTGTATGCCATCGCATACGTCGATACACCTACCTCCCCGCATTTTACATCCCCCGAATCCTCGAGCTTTTTCACGCGATTAATTCAGCAGTCAATTAATTAATGTCTTCACGAGCCCCGATAACAGTCAGACCCGTTCCTCGCTCTTACGGATTTCTGCGAAAAAAACCGATTCTAATCTCTTCTCCATCTCTTTCTCTTTTCCTTTCCTTCGTTCGTACCCTCACTGTATTCCTCATTGTCTCTTTCTTTCTCTCTTTCTCTCTCTCTCTTTCTTTCGCTCTCTATCTCTCTTCAGTTCTCATCCATACGACGCTAATACTCTCTAAAACTTATACATAAAACGAGTATGTATAACCACCTACTACTAAGCACTGTGTGTGAGTGTTTCTCTGAGGTTTCATTCTTTTATATTCCCCTCTATCTTTCTCTCTCTCCCTTTCGCTCTCTCCCATCCATTCACTTTCTTTCATATTTCGTTCGCGACCAGGAAGCGCGAGGTGCTATCACGTGATCCACGTGTTCCCCGCGACGAGTCTTATATCTCACGCGTTTCGAGAAGTCCGAAATATGTTCTTTTACGACAGCCCGCCATTTTTAACGCCGCGCATTTTATTGATCGTTCTTTTTAAGTGTGTACGTATACATGTGTGTGTGTATATGTGTATGCTTGTGTACTTGTGACGAGTGGTTCAGTCTCACAGCCCGATATCGTCGTGACTAATCCGGTCATGGATGTACATTAAGTAAAAAAAAAAAGAAAAAAAATGAAAAAAAAAATCGGCCAAAGTGCCTGGCGGAGGCATTCGACGCATCGTCAAATGTCATAGTATAAGGAAAGCCCTTTCTCTCTTTCTCTCTCTTTTTCCCTTTCACATCTCGATCTTTGCGCCTCCTCTTTCTTCATCTTATCGTCCTTTTTACGCACGCGGACACCACGTGGTCCACACAAGCGCCCTCACGTACATATACATATAAATCGGTAAATATGTATGTACAGGACCCGCGACCGGTCACTGTGCGAGAGCCACGTAAGCCTCGTCTCGTCTCTCCTTCCTTCCGTTCCTCCCGTTTCCTCATCTTACCCTCCTATTATTCTAGCGAGTCAAATAATTAGGCATAAAATTTGCACTTTATGCTTCAAAACGATTAGGAATAAATTTCCTACTCTCGCAGCGTCTATATCGATGATCGTGGAGGAACGTAAAACGAAGGCAAAAGCGCAGCTTCGATTTCTCGTCCTCCTTGTCAAATTTCTTATGATTTTAAGTGTGTCAATAAGGACACCGAACATCGTCTTTCGCTCCCGCATCCTCTGGCCGCGGCCAAACGCGAGCCAAAAATGCGACAAGGAGAAGCGCGGGAGGATGCGGCGAGCGCAGCGAGGAACGGAGGGATAACGAGAGCACGCGAGAGTCGTTAATATTGTACCTTTCTTTTCGCTCCTCCTCTATTTTTCCTCCAATTATTCTACACGCACAGTTCCACGGTTCATGTATCGGACAGTCGAACGATTCTACCCATTTTTTCCTAGTTATCTCTCGCGCGACCTTTCTCGTTCCTTTCTCCCTTCACTTTCCCTCTTCTCTTCATTCATCTTCGCACGCACACGCTTCGTTTCTTTCACACTTTCTCTCTCATACGGACATACACACTCCTCGCAACTACGCCTTCTCGCTCTGTTGGAGCTTCTTGCTGCCGGCCTGACGGTTGTTGTTGGGCTTGCTCTTCAGAGAGGTCTGCTTGGCTTGCGCGTGCTGACGTTGCTGTTGCTGCTGCTGCGTTGCCGGATTCGCCGCTCCCGAGACGGCCATCTCGATCGCCCGAGTGAGATCATGTATGCGCGACGGTAGACGTTGAAGGAACGGCTGCCGTTGGCCCTTGCTTCCACCATGAAAGATGCCGCCGCCGCCCCCGATGTGACTGTTGATGTTGATGTTGTTGTTGCCACCGATAACGCCCGGTATCTGGCCAGGTCCCCGCTTGTTGTAAAGATGACCCGCCGGCATCGGCATCGGCAGCTGTACCACCGCCGCGGTACGTAGCAGCCGATGGCGACGATGATGGTACGGCGCCGCTACCGCCGCCGCGTCCGCTGCCGCGGCCGCAGCCGCAGCCACCGCCGCCGCTGCCGCCTGTTGCTCGTCCTACGCCGCCTTGCTCTTGTTCGTCTTGAAGCTGACCTGGAGCACCCGGTTACCCAGAGTGTAGCCGTTCAGGCTCTGTATGGCCACCACCGCCTCCTCGTAATTGGTCATCGTCACGAAGCCGAAGCCCTTGCACTTGTTCGTCTGCAGGTCGCGTATGACCTTGACCGATTGGACGGCGCCGAACGGCCCAAACAGCTGCCAGAGCACGTTCTCCTCGGTCTCGGGCGCGAGGTTGTACACGAAGATGCACCAACCGGCGCCGTTCATCGTGTTACCGGGCAGCATAGAGTTTGCGAGGAGGTCGCCCGCCAGCGGACTGTACCTGGAACACGGTGGCCGGGCCGATGATTAAACGGACATCGTCGCCCGGGGATGGTTCACGATAACGGTCGCGGAAGCGACGAATGACCGAACGAACGATGCTAAAACGTCGTTATTATTCGAATAACGTCTGATGATGAGTCGGTCTCTGGCGAAAATATAAATTGTATCATTATTTTTCCTCTTTTCTTGCCAAAATTTTATAAAATTTCATGTTCATGAAAGAGATACTTAAGATTAGAATATAAAATTTTATATTCATGAAAGAGATACTTAAGATTAGAATTTAACGCGAATAAGACATTTTATATTTTTAATATTTTTAATAGATATTTTATATCATTTTATATCATGAGGCGTGATTTAAATATAAATTTTATATTAATACCTTCACGTAAATTCGCTTTCACTCTATATTATTGTTCACGTTTCAAGAAAACGCTTGAGCACCGTTCAGTTCAAGTTATAAATATACTTGCTATGGTACTTATATTTTCTTTTCTGAACAAAAGAGATTAAATCTATATAAGATTTACATTATACGCTACTCGCACAGTATATCGCAATCCCAATGAAATTAAATGTGTAAAGATGCGAATATCGATGTGAACACTTATTTTGCGCGTGATATATTTTTATTTACATAAATGGTACTTTCGCAGACATTTACATATGATATTGGTATGAAGAGATGAAAAATTATGCAAGATTACACGACAATTAATTTCATCTTTTATATAATTTACACGAGAAATAATGATAATACAAATGGTATGTAAGGATAACGTGCAAATCTTGTTTATATATAAATGTCTAGAAAGAGATGTGCGTTTTCTATATAAAATACTGAAGTATTTATATTTTAGTCATATATTTACTATAGCAAACATTTTTTAATATACAAATTAATGTATGGAAATAGAAAAATTAAAAATAAATATTTTTCGAATTTTAAGTCACGTATTTTTCTAAGAGAAAAATACATCTTTAATATTATTATACTTTATGTTTAAAAAAAATTTATTTATTTTAACGACGAAACTCTATAAGTGACTCTAATTTATACATATATAGCATCATAAAAAGAGAGCGACATTTATTTCAGATTATTACATAAATTACATTTTATTAACGTACTTTATATTTGCGACACATTTTGTATTTATGTTAATCACAGAATGTTGAATAATCATATGCAAATCTCTATGTATGTATGTAATAAATTTGTGCTAATAGGAAGTGAAGAAAACATTAAGAAGAATATAGACGGATTTTGGCAAATAATGATGATCTGTTTAAAGTTATAAAAATATAAGAATAAAAATAAAAGAAGAAACATCAAAATTAAGTAGCAAGATTTCACAAAACTGAAAAAATGTCACTCGTCCATATTTTACATAGAGAGACGAAAATTATACAAATACATCACGTATCAAATATCGATCCTTTAATCAATTATAATTAGATTCCTTTTTAAGCCATGCATTTTTTATAAGTAGAATATAACATAATATATTCAGAGAAAAAAAGCAAACTCGGACGAAGAGGTATATTAATTTCACATTCATGCATTAACATGCGCGGGGGGGATATCACACATATAATGAACGTGTTTCTTGCAACACAAGCCAATTCCTTGGATGACATTCTACAGTGAAATTAATGTTAATTCATCATTAAATGTGCAATAGTATTAGTCAAGAGACAAATGAGATTTTAGAAAACGGGGATAAAAATGATACACGCCTCATACATGGACGCTTATAAAAGTTGAGGGATATTTACAGTTGTAAAAAATATCTACGTACCTACTTGACGTCACAAGCCGCGTTAAAACAGGGCACATCTCGGTGAGTACTCAGTATAATGCCGAGGCCACAGTAATATGCATTCGTCATGAACGTTTGTTTTATTTGTTAACACGTTATCGCGAAATAAATATGTACTTTTTTACGCATGTGTTTTTACGCAAAATTGTGTGCATCGGATGGTTTTACGATCGCGTGCATGTGTCTGATTTAATTCTGTGTGTATGTGTGTAGAGTTGTGCGAGTAATTTGTGCGAGTGTGTATGTGTGGAGAGTTGAAAAAAAAAAAAAGGAACGACAGGATCATAAGGACGATGAAATGAGGACAGTAACATCACGTTGCTTGCGTGTAAGTTCATCCCGTTATTCATTAAGCATATGTACACTTGCATAAGTATCTGCATCCGATTCTCTTTTTACACATCTACAGATTTCGTATTCACTCGAAGAAAATAGTCCATTTTTACGAAACTTTTGTTTGTAAAAAAATTTTATATAAAAATATCAACATATTTTTTTTGCATTACAATATACTTTTAGGTATATTAATATTTTTCCTTTAAAAATTTATTATATAATAAAACGAAATGTAAAATGATCTGAATTCTTTGATTATCATTAGAAAGGCATGCTAATTTGACAATATGTAATTACAGTCTCTCGAAACCGTTTGCAAATGATGTAGAAAAATAATAAAACTCTAAAATATGCTATAATATAATCGTTGCAAATACTGCGGCGGCAAATACTGCTGCAGTTTAATCATTACTAAAGGATTGCACTATATAAATAAGTGAAAAAACGAGGGAAACCAAGGAGGCTTGGTTGCGAAACTCAGGAAAACGTGACGTCAACAATGTGATATCTACCATTGTGTTTGCAACTGAATCAAACAAAAGTTAAAGCAAAACGGCATGAAAAATGCATAAGTGATGGAAAATGCAAAGAATATTGGGACGTCGTTACGAAATTATGATTGCATAAAAGAAATTGATAACAAATCTGAATAATACATCATGAAAAATTTTGTAAAAACATACAAGATTGAACAGAGATGACTCAAGAAATTTAAGTAATAATAACAAATTCAAACTTGGATTACTTCGCTTTAATAATAAAATAATTGCACGATACCTTAGATAGATATTGAATTCGTAACGAGTCGAAGAGGGAAAAGATAGTAGAGAAGAGAAAGAGAAAGAGAGAGAAATAGAGAACGAAGCCACACAACATAAAATGTAAATGAAAATCAGGAGTGGAAAACGTAGTGGTAGTAACGAAAAAAATACTGACCTCTGTAAGCCTTTGTTAATGGCAAGCATGGCCTTGCCAGTGCTAAAACAAAAACACAAAAAGAACAACGTAAGAAGAGAGATACTCCGGGATCGAGCCAAAGTCGGGGGATAAGTCGGGCGCTTCCTGTGCCATCGTATTTCATTTTTCTATTCCTACATAGCGGTGCAATTTTTACTCCGAATGAAACACAATGGGGAAGATGCAATGCGGGACTCAGAAAAGCGAAGTGACTTACAATAAACATCTATTCTATCGATGAAATTTATTTCGCGAATATCAGAAAAGACAAATCTTAGAAAATAAAATATAGTAACGTTTTTTAAATTTAATTCAATTTATCATAAACAATTCAATAAATAAATTGTTTACGTTATCAGATAGAAAAAAAAACAAATAATTTGTTTGAATAATATCTAAACAGATAAAAATTTAGAAGAGTTTAATTTTTCACATATCTATGGAGAATTAAAATAAAATTCATCTTTTATCACTTCGATTCTCTGTCAGGAGAGGAATATCAGAGGATTATTGTTTGTTATGGCAATGAGAAAAGTACTTTTTTTCAGATTAAACTTAAATATTTTCCAACTATCAATGAAAAAATTAATATTAGAATAAATTAATATTAGAAGTAAGACAAGCTCAGTTTTGTTACCACAATTTCCAAGCTATTTATAAAATAAGGTAAATTTATTGTAATAAATTAAAAAATATTACGAAAGCAAAGATATTGAAAATTGTTAAGAAAAAAAGGAAAGAGAGAAAGAAGAAACAGCATCTCATTAAGGCTAAATGATCTAGATCTAATAGATTTAAATGCAAAAAAATTACACATTTTTACTTTTGTAAAAATTATATGAAAAATTAGCTTTACTCTATTCGAATCTAAAAAATCATCAACGTTTGGAAACAGTTTCGTTTAACACATTGACAGTGTAAATAACTGTTATCGCATCACTTTATGCCGGAAGGGAAGCAGGATAATAAGAGATAAAGCGATAGCAAAGCGCAGCTACACTCAGTTAACGCTTTGCATTTGATAAAAGAACCAAATGATTAATGTCTGTCACGAATCTCGTAGAGAATTTCGGCAACTCTGTAGTTCGAGTCTGACGTACAAACAGACCTAGCGTGTGCGATCAATGAAGATGTACAATGCGTGTATATTGTTTTCTTCGTAGTAACGAAATTAGGCGAATATATATACGTATACTATATAAATAGATATCGATAGCGAGCATCGTGACTTATGCGTATATATGGAAGGCTCGAAAATGAAAGACAGATGATAACTTGTGTGAGTGTCATTAGTCTTTAATTCCACGAGTAATATTTGTCGTCAATATCGAATGGAAATATCGTGCGGAAAAATTTCTTCAACAATTTTCTAACGCATATATGATAATTAAACAGTAGTACATAAGCTTGACGACAAATATTAATACAGAATGTAAGACTATTGTGCATGTCTTGCTCCTCCATGTTTCCAGAATGGCCAAGAATCAGCTTCGTTTTCAAATCAAACTTGCATTATTACATTATTTCGTATTATTATTTTACATTATTATATTATTTCGTGTTATTATTTTACATTATTATATTATTTCGTATTATTATCTTACATTATTCGATATTTCGATCGAATAATATTAAATTATTTGCCTCGTGAGATCTACTGATCGCTGGCCTTGCAAGAGACGAGAAATAAAAGAGAGATAGAAAATGAAGAATCGTATAATCAATTAAAGAAAAGTAACTACAACTATAAATGATAAAAGAGAGTCGACTTCTTATTCTATACGCGAAGTTACATGGATATTATTGATCTATTATTTGGTAAAGCCATGCCTCCCATCCCATCGGCCTTGACAAGCTTTCGTTTCGTCGATGCAAGTTTGATAGAAATATATCGATCGCGCGAGGGAAAGACCTTTCTAAATGGAGCTAATACGATTCTTTGTACTGAAATATTTTATTTTCTCTTGCTCCATCCATCTTTTATTCCTCGCTTTCAAATTGCGTTTATAGTTGTAATTGAAAATTAAAAATAATACTAGTATTTGTGTGTTATGAGTGGTAAGTATAATAATGATAGAAAAAAATCTCGTTTTAAAAAATTGTTTTACAGTAATTAAATAAAATTGTTTCTCACGTAATTAAATAAAAAAATGGACAATACGATACTCAAGGATTACCGTGTAAGTAACACAAAAGTCTAATTATTCCGGCAAAATAACAATGCTCAATTACAACTAAAAAAAAGGAGCAGACATGTTAATATGCACATAGTTAAAATTTTGTCGCAGGAGGAGCTTTGTGCCGAATAATTCAAACGATGTAGACATAACGTTCATTGTTTACAATCGATCGATCGTCTATTCATCAACATCAAACATTTGTTATCAAATGCTTCGCTCTCAATCAACTCGCTTCGATTAGTAAATGATTAAAAAGCAATAATATAATAGGTAACAGATAGATTTCTGGTGTAATTAATTTAATAATTAACATGTATCTTGTAAATTATTATGATTTTGTAAATTATTATGATATATTTCATGTATACCATTATTATTTTAATTATTATCATATATTTAATACGTGTCATCTGTGAAAATGTTGGAGTTGAAGCAATTCATAATATTGTATCGTGCATTTTCTGTCAGTTATTTTTCCTCGTCATATTAAAAATAACAAAAACATATACTATGTTCTATAATGCTAAGTTATTATCAGAATAAAAAAGTTTCTAAGCGAGTTTATATATGAACGACCGATCGATTTAATCAAGTATTTGTGTTTGCGTGATGTGTATACGTGTGTATGTGTGTCAAGAGAGAGAAAATAGAAGGAAAAAGACAAGTAGTGTCCAATAGATATAGATAGAAAAATAGATAAATAACGAAATAAACGGACAATTGGATAGATAAATGGACGAATAAGGAGAGGTTCACGGATGAGTAGATAAGTAGCTCACAATCTATAAAGAATTCAGTCTATAAGTGAAGAAGAATCATCAGACAAACCAATCGATAGAGAAACAGAAGCGAAAGAAAGAAAGGAAGGAGAAAAGCGAGAAGACGATGCGCGATCAACGCGGTATTTAATCCAGATACGTGCTAAATCTTCCCGGATCCAGGTAACATCGATATACCGTATTAACAGCCGCATTAATTGATCGCACAGAGTGATTCTTAACGAAAATCTAACGAAAGCTGTAAGAGTAGAAAGGGGCAGAAAGAGAGAGAGAGAGAGTAAGAGATAGAGCAGAGATAGAGAGTTAGAGAGAGAGAGTTAGAGAGAGAGTTAGAGAGAGAGAGATAGAGAATCCTTGGGTAGAGCGAGTAGAGGCGAGTAGGTACCTGGATAGTGGCGACAGTGGAATGTACCTGAAGCGGCCGGTCGGATGGTGGATCGGCCCGCCGAAGCGCCGCGTGGCCTGTGGTGCGAGATAAGCGGCCAACGGCGGTATCGCCTTGTTGTTGTTGCTGGGATTGTTGGCGAACTTGACGGTGATCGGCTCGGACGAGCCCTTCGGTATGGTGCCGTTCAGCTCCTGGATCGCCCGCTCGGCCTCGACGCGCTGGTCGAACCTTATGAAGCCGACGCCCTTCGACAGGCCTATCCGAGAGGTGCCGAGAAGGTCGGCGGGACACACAAGATCACACTGGTTATTGCGAGATGCGAGACAACGTTTCGCTTTGTCGGAGTCGCGCCGGACGCTTCCGGCCCCGTCCGATCTCGGTCGTTCTCTCGTGTATCTTTTCCTTTGCAGTTTAACGTGAGAGAAAAACAGCCAATAAAAAGCTGTTTATTTTCTTTTCATTTAAACGGTATTTTAACGTGTCTTCGATTAGCTTCCTCATCAATCAATTAATCATTGTCATTACAATTATCGCCCCGTTGCATCCTTGTAAGATGCGTGACGTATGTTAGTGCTATATAAAGAGAATGAGTAAGAGACATGATGAGTAAATATTTTTAAAATATTGATGATAAAAGAATGTTATATAAAATAAAATTAAAATTTTTAAAGAGATACATTTCGCTTTCGAATATATTAATTATTTTTAGATAAAACTATATACTTTTATGTACAATTCAAATGAATAGTTATTCGATTCAAATTGATATTAAATGAATAGAAAAAGAGTGTAGTATTTTCTAAAAATTCATTTAATATTCTCACATAGACAAAAAATAAATATCTAAAAGGAATGTACTCTAAAATTCCATCCTTTAGCCAATAACATGTTTTCACATCATCAATCTTTCAAAAATATTCACTTGTCACGCTTCACGCGATTTACCCTTAATACGGCACGAGTCAACATCATTCATCTCACAAATTACAATGTATTCGCATATCATTAATCGCGCAGAGTGATAAATTGCGAATACAATTGCTTATCACTTGTAATGATGAAAAAAAAGATACCATTTACGTACACTCTACCTTTGTGCGCGCGTGAGAAATGCCAATAGTTTATTTAATCGTTAATTAAATTGTTAATTTATCTATAAACTGTATACACGCGTATCACATACACGCGCACACACACATACAACACGCAAAGCGAGTGGTTCGGTGCGCGCAGATTCGTTTCTTTACAAACACAACGACATTATTGTCGTGTGGACGTCTTTTTGTCTTTCTTTCGAGTCTCTACTTTGCTGTTGTATCTCATCATCGCGGTTTACTGATTAATAACGGGTAGACAGAAACGGAAAAAAAAAGAATGAGAAAGTGAGATAGAAAATAATAGAGTGAGAAAGAGAGAAAGAGCGAGTATATATATATATTCGATTGTGGACGTACGTAGATATAATCGAGAGATCGTAATCAAATCATAATCATAACGAATGACAAAAAGCGTAAAGAAACAAAAATGGCGCTCGGAGGGAACATTGGATGCGCGTGTCTTCCGTCATTGCACGACGAGAATGAAAGACGCATCTCTTTCTCGTCATCTCTCCCCATATTTGTGACGCTCGTAAAACTTCGTTATAATGTGCATTTTACAAAAATGATACAGCTGAATATGTAGCTCGTGTCTTTTTTTTTTTTTTTTTTTTTGTTCGATTTCGAGAAATTTTTCAGTTCCATGAAATTAATACTTGAAATTTCGAAGACTTCCGCGGAAATGTGCCAAATGCCATTATTAATTTTGGCGTCGTTATTAATAATTATTAACATTATTAATTATTATTAAGCAGACATGGATTTTACTCGAGACACGATATTTACCCTGCGCGGTAATAAATCGATTTTCGATTGCACCGCATTTGTGCTTCAAGTGCGTTGTGTTTCATTAACAACGACGGTGACATTAACGAAGTGCACGACGAAGAGAAACGTGGGGAAAAAAAAATCACCTAGACGAGAGACGCGCGCATCGCAGATCGGAAGAAACGGCTGCTTGTCGTTTCAGCTAGAAGGACGTAATGAGGGAAAAGAAAAAAGAGATTTGTGAGTTACGTACCGGGCAAATTGTCTCCGCCGCCGGTCACAAACTGTCGTACTAAAAAGAAACGGAAAAAATCATATCTCGTTAAAATTCAACTGGCAGCACTACGCGCGATTCGCTCGCCCCTGATTCATCGACGGTTTGGGGGATAAAACGTGTTCGCGGTAAGAAACGAGGTGAAGAAATTAACGCAACAGTAGCAAAATAAGAGCAACGACAATCGCGTTTCAAATTTGACAAGAAAAAAAAACGCCCACGACTTGAACTCAAACACATTTAATTTTTGCGAAATTTTTACAATAAATCAAATAGTGCAAAGTTATTTACTTCCAATGTGTGAGATGCAACTTCGATAAATTATTGTATCTGAATGTTTATACATTTGATAGATCGAAGAAGTATCACAAGTTTTTTTTCTATATAAAAAATATAAAACTAATATGTCGCAAAATTAAAAAGGTTTAATAAAAAGAGAAAAAACTCTATGAAAAGTATTAATAAACAGATCTTTTTCATTCTACTTTGATTATATTATTTAACGCTTTGTTTATCGTTGCCGGATCGATACACGTTGCTTTCGCAACTAATATTCGCGCCTTCGATAAAGATAAGAAACCGCGATATCGTTTTAAATAAAATAAACATGGAGCGAATAAGGGGCGAGCGGACTGCGTGTAAATTACGCTAATTTTCATCTCCTTAATCATATAAAAAGCGTGAGTGTCAAGATGGGAAAAATTTGGCGTATCGCGCATGTTCACTTTTTGCGGGAGGGAAACGAAAGCGATGTTTATCGAACATAAGTCTTGGGGATGACGGAGCAAGTCTAATGGATTCCGGATAACGAAGTAATAATGATGTAATAATGCGTAGGATCGATCGACGCAGATAAGATGAAAACGTATCGGAACGTGAGGAATGGAAGAGGATGAAAAGTGAGCATGAATGGGAAACGCGAACTTAAGATCGAGGTGGTGGCCATGAGGCTTCGTTCGTGCAATCCGGGCTGGTCGGAGAGGGGCATTTGCTAAATTAAATAATAAAATAAAATTTAAAAAATGCAAATTAAATATCCAGCTCAGGAAGGATTAACTAAACAACTAAAAACAAAAGACAACTTGGAGGGAGACACTTGATTCGGTATTCACCGATGGATGAATAGCTCCCCTCGAGAACGAAATTGCGTGTACATATATGCGAGAAGCTGTACTCGTGAAATTGTTGAGGGATTTTGTGCTCTTCGAATGAGGAAACGTGAAAAAAGTGTGTGTACAGGCGAAAGAAAACATAATGAAGTGAAACTGATACGGTTACGATTTCGTTCACTTGCTTGGAATACTTTTATCGTATCGCTATAACACACATTTCATCGAATTGTTTATTACTCGCACTTTCGTTGTCATTATCATTTATGGCGCACCGACCCACCCTACAAATAACCCCATGGCCTACGCACCTGTGATCTGGACGCATTATAATTTTATTTAAAATCATCGATTTTTTTGTCGCTGTCTTAAATGTAGTCAATTTTATTCTTGTACAAAAATTCTCGCCTCAGCGCGAATAGAATCATGACGTACCAAATTTAAGGCAACTCGATGGAAAAAAAAATAAAAAAAAAATCTGGATAAATCGCAGAAATATTTTAAATGACAATTATGTGCGACGTTCTGTCGGACTTTGTTCGTGTATAATTCATCATCATCGAAAAAATTGACAAGCGGTCAATCGATTCGTAAATCCACTGTGGAAAACTCGCGAAGATCGACAGACGAGACGGTTTTGCATGGGACTTACCGGTGATGTTGTCGCATAGTATTCGCGACGTGATAATTCTGCCGTAAGGGCTGAAGAGATTCTCCAGATCCTGCTGCGCCATATTCTTCGGCAAGCCGCTAACGTACAGATTCGCACCTTTGATCGCCTCGCTGCTCGGTCTCGCGTACGATACCTAAAAATTAAACAATGCGTCCCGAAATATAAAAATATATCCCTTTGTACCTCCGACAAATAGCAATCGTGAATTGACGAAAATATCTCCAAAATGTTTAGAGTAAGAACAAAAAAATTATGCTGCGCGATAATCATCGCTTTATTCTTGTTCGCGCGCGATAAAACCGAATCCAGGCCAACCTATTTATATTGCTGCATTGCCGCCTTACACGCTCGCGTAGATGCATTTAGCATAGAAATTGGACAGATCGCTTTACACAATTTGACTATCGAAAAAAGACTATTGAAGATATTTTAGATCGATTAAAGACTATTGGAGATATTAAATTCGAAATTACATTAAGAGATCTCTCTCTCTATTAATGTCTCTCCTTTGTATTGTAAATTAAAAAATATTTATGATCTTAATCTTTGAAAAAATTATTGATTAAACGAAAATAAAACTGTGATAGAAAACGATCTTTTTGTTTTCGAAGATTAGCAATCAAATAAAAGACTTGTATTTTTGGATTGCATTAAAAGGACTCCTCTCCTCTCACCTTGATGGTTTTATTCTGTAAACGAAGACCATTGAGCGTGTTTATAGCCTTTTCGGCATCTTCAGGCCGGTGATAGTTGACGAAACCGTAACCCAAACTCTGACCTGCAAACAGAAAAGCGATCAATTAGCTCGATCAATTTCGTATATATTTCGCAATATTGGATTTATCTTGGACAAACTGACCGAGCTAGACGCGTATGCGATTCGCGACAAAGAAACGACGGAAATATTTCATCGTCGACAATATGTCTCGATTGCTTTTGCTCTTAATGCGGTTAAACATTTCTCTTGACGTTGCAAACGGATTTCAAAGTCCGCTCGTTCGTATCCGCGCGTCCATCCATTTGCTGGAATAGAATCGCATTGAAGAAATAGTTGAACGCGTAATCCCGACTTCAATTTCCTCGATACGTGCCGGAATCAGTTTTATGAATGGCGTAGTGGCAAATATATCAACGAGTAGTTGGCGAAATGCCTAAAGCACACTGCGAGAATACGAGTGAATTTTTTTTTGGCTTTACTCCGCGAGAGGGAGAATAATAATATCAATTTTTCTTATCGTTTCTCCAATATCTTAATGCTAAGCTCTGCTCCACAAAGTTAATTTTAGACCGAATATTATAGCTTAAATTTAGGAATTCAATTCGACTCATTGCTTGCACAGTTTCTATTAAAATAGCAAATCTCTCGTTATATTTATTAAATGTTTCTCATTGCAATGATATCGTCAATTATTTTTTGACGGAGATGAAACAGGAAAACATAATTACGATTTTTTTCAGTCAAATGAAAAAAAATTGTCCCGAATGTGATTTGAACGAGGCGACGAAAGACGTGGCACGATACTGCGATTCCGTGATGGCGAGGTCGAGCATAAAGCGGCAAATCTTCAAACCAAACGCCGCCCCCGCTCTCTTCGCGCGGCTCGAAATAGCGTCGCAACGTCTATACACGTGCTCGTCGCTGCCACTGCACGGAATATACCCGATATGCACGTACGGGTCCGAATTATGCCAAGATTATGCATACTCGAATATGATCAATATGAATAGGCTGCGCAAAATATCAGAAATTTATGGAAAGATTATATGTATGGGCATAACGATTTAGTTTATATCCCGTACTCGAGGATAAGATAACAAGATCTTGTAGAGGACAAGAATTTATATTCCCCATTATAAGAATTTATATTCCCCATTATAAGAATTTCTATTCATATTCCCCCTTCGAAGTCACATGTTGAAAATGTTAATCGTCGAGAGTTTATTTTTCTAATAAAATTGTTTTTTTACTCGACAATAATTTTCGACGTCATTTTAATCGAGCTAGATTGTACAAATGAAATGAAACAAAGAAAAGTTTTTCAATGTAGAAAATCATAGTAAAAAACCGTCGAGAGTTGTTTCATTTTGAGGATGATACAAATCAGTTTTCCAAATATTGCAAATATACGTCGTGTATATCTGATTAGGACGTTTCGAAACTAAATTTACATCGTTCTTAAAATAGACGGTGTATTTATTGGGCAACTCACTCGAGTCTAGATAACTTAACACGAAAGGAAAGGATTATAATAAAAGTGCTGATCTTACCGCTAAGCTTATCACGGATTAGCTTGCAGCTCTCGACCTCGCCTATACTGGAGAACAGAGAACGAATCTCATCCTGAGTCATGCTCTGCGGCAAATAATTTACTATGAGATTCGTCTTCGACTCCTCCTGCGAGGTCTGTCCGAGGGTAGATCCTCCGTTTTGTTGTACGACTGTATCCATTCCGTTCGCCATCATTGCAATCCTCTAACGAATCGTCTCTAACTATGTACGAAATCTGCAAGCAGAATTTATATCACATTAGACTATCATAATCTAGATAAATAATCGTCATCAATTATATAATAATAATATAACACACGCACATACACAATACACACACACATATTTGTATATTAAAATAGATATTTATATCAATAAATATTGAATATATTGTGAATTTCTTGGATAATTATGGTATTGTTAGGTCTGCATATCTTGTACTATTGTAAGGCATTAAAAAAGATTTCCAGGAAGTTTCGCTTTCAAAACATCGAATCGGCGAATACGAGTTCGTCGCAAGAATAATGTGGAAGAAACTACATAACACCGATGTAAACAAATATCAAAGGACGTAAAAACGTACCATCAAAACAATGATGCACAAGACGTTCTTTGACATTTGAAAACTCAAGTGGCCTCGAGTTTTTTTTTGTGTAACCTATTCGCGTTAACTCAAAGAACAAGTTTCCTTTGTTCTATAAAGCAAAATTGACGCAAATCGTCTTAACTTTGGCATTATTGTAAAATAATAATAACTATCGAACAAGTTTCTCTCACATATGTACACACTATATAATAGTAATCTATAATATATAATAATCATATATAAAGATAAATTATATCGTAATCAATAAATGTTACTGATCTAAATATTTTTTATGTACATTTTTCTAAAAAGGACGAGTCTGCATTACTTTTTTTTATTTTTATAAATGACACTTTTATTGAAAAAATGCTTCTTAATAATTGCAATAAAAGATATATAAAAATTATATAAATATAAATAGTTTTATTTTGTTAAGGACTCGAAATATCCGATTTAAAGCCATGAATATGAAGAAAGAATTGAAGTGAAAAAAATTTGTAACATTCGAGATTCGATAGTGTAAAAATCTGAACGATGACTTTCCCAAACACCCAAGTGTAAAAGGAACAAGAGCAACGGTTGGAAGGACTTTCGGGGTAACGTCCGATACAAACTTGGATAATTTAAAGGGGCCGACGACCCCCGTTGTCATTTAAAGGGCCGGGGACCCTTTCCAAACTACGAAGCACACCGAGTGCTATAGAAACCTACATACATGGTGTCCAAAGCAGATATAAGTTATAAGATTTATGTTATAAGATTTCTGAATATTTTTCATAATGAAAATTTGATTAGAAACAATCTAATTAATGCAGTAACGGGTAGTAGAATCATTAATTCCTTTCAATCACAACCCTTCATACACAGACATGTAAAATAAAAGCAGGAAATGCTTTCTGCACCACCCGCTGCATTTCTGAATAAATTACGAATTCGAGTGGCAATCAGCCATCTAGAACCTTATTACCATCTAAAAGCAATTAATTCCGAATTATATCTATAATTAAAATCGCTAAAATGCGACTTCATAACGAAATTATGTATAAAAATATCAAGACCAAAGTTCTTAACGAAACTCGAGCGTGTAATTACGTATCTAAAAGTCTAACTCTTAATTTTAATTAATTTGCCAACTAGATACATGCGCCTGATGAAATTTTCGCATGAAGGAAATTCCTAAACACAAAAATAAAGCGAAGAATAATAATAAATAATTTCAGATCAATTTCAAATCAACAAAAAAATTATTGACGATTTAGATCAAAGATTGGACGACCCAATCAGCTTTTTTTAAGCGGTACACCCGATACACGCACGCACAACAAAGCGCAAAGAGAGAAACAAGAGCGCAAGAGAGAGGCAGAGCGAGGAAGGGGAATTACTGTGGTGGCTACTGTAGGGTAGCGCTATGGTGTTCATGATTAAGGTACACACACAATACATACACAGAGAGCTGCGACGATACATTTATCAGTCGGCACGAGCCACCGGTGTATATTTTAATTCTCTCTCTCTTTCTCTCTTTTTTCACGTTCCCTTCTCTACATGCGTCTCTCTGTCCTCTCCCCTTTTCCTTCCTGCATAACGATCAGCTGTCCTTAAAGCCTCCCTCTCTGTGCGATTAGCTCTCTGTGACTCGTAGCCACCCTAAAAGACTTGTCCGCAATGTCCTGAGGTAACAGATAGCTTTTATTATGCGTGTGCGGATAGTGTCCGGCCCTCGAGTTTCTAAAACGAACTGAATATGCATCATATATGAAAATATGATTGCACGAGATAGTGATATGTCATGTTTCTTGCATTGAATGTTGTGAAGGTTTGATATCTTATTAATTTGCATACAAGTCTCAGTTTAAAAGATTATATGCATCTCATCGATACAAAAACAATTAGATGAATATATATAAAAAAATTGCATATATGTATTTTAATTAATATATGCAGCTGTAATCAATAAGCGGTTCGGTACTGATTAAAATATCCTTTCACTTGTGTTAGATTTTTCAACAGCGAGCCTATATATATTTCTTTTTTATTTTTAATAAATTTATTGAAAAAATATTTGTCAGTTTTATTCGGAAAAAAAATGTATGGAAATTGTATAAATACCAAAGATTTTTATTTTTTGAAGGGAAAAAAAACGATTTACAACCGCGAATATCGTGTTGAAGAATCAAACTGAAAAAATTGATAAAATTTGATACTCGAGATTCGGTCAAGTAAATCTAGACGCGATGACTTTGCGAACACAGTTATAGCAAAAGGAACAGCCAATTTAGTTTTCAAGCATGAATCATTGGTATATTTCCAATTATCATAAATAATCTCGAGTTATTTCAACGTTCGTCACACGAAGATTGACAAATTGCTAGACTTTATTTATCTCTTCTGATAAATTTAAACATGTAAAATTGATCAAATTATGAGCGAGAAGGTTGAAGCTCGGTTATTTTTTTTGTGTATTATGGGAATTACTTTACACGAAGAAAAAAAAAAAATATATATATATATATATATATATATATATATATATATATATATATATATTCGCCGAATAGAAAGAGCGCCGATTATTCTCTCTTTCTCGTTCACGTCCCCTTTGTTTACGAACGCAAGCGATAAAAGCGCCGCTCGCAAAGGCAGAAAAGTCGCGGTGCGCTTATCGTAAGCCGGCATCTTCCTCGGTATCGATCCGCGCTCGGCGTTCGCCATCGCGATATATTTTCGGATCCGACAATACCGAGGGCACGGCATAAGAGGGCCGCCGAGTTGGCCGACTACATTGTTACGGATCGCGCGACACCGATCCAACTTTTGGACGCATCTCCGCTGTCATTACGAGATAACAATGGATGCACCGCAAAAGTGCACGCTCCGAAAGCGGGGAAGGGGGAATCGTACAGACGATCCTCAACAAAATTTTAGATATTATATCGGAGATACACCCTATGAGAAGATTCAAGAAATTATTTTTAGTAAAATTCTAGTAAAAAAAATTAGAATTAAATTAGGAATTTTAGTAAAAAATTCTGTAAAATTTTCGTAATAATTTAAATAGAGTAGTTTAAATGATATAATTTTATGAAACTTTTTAATAAAATTGTTATAATTTTCATGTGCCGCGAAAATTGATCATGATTTAAGTAGTTTAAAAAATTCAACAGCTTAAAACTTGCGTGTTATATTTATGATTTGATATTTCCAAATTCTTTTAAATTTAGCAAAATTTAAAATTACATAATAGATTAATTATACTTTAATATATAGATATATCAAATATTCTATTTCCGGAGTAGATATCTCATTGAAAAAACAACGTAATTATAAATAAAATTTTTGCAAGTCATAAACTGAAGTACGAAGGGAAACTAAATGGACGATGAGTTATTTCGAAACAGCCCGGGACTATCGATCTGGCGAAATCGATACAACAGAAATACCGTTTTATTCTGGTAAATGCTACCTTGTTATTTCAATTTAGCCGCGTCCCTATCGCGTGGCAAGAGATAGCAATATCTCCGATTATTTAGATCATCGTGAGAATTTTACAAGTGTCCTCGATTTCAAAGTTATATGTGTTTCGTTCACAAATATCGCTATTCAATTACAATATTAATCGAAAAACAATAACGATATAATTATCAATTATACGCAATTAGAATTCATTTCCGAGAAAACCAAATATATGCCATCGAACCGCGATTTACGGGAAAGTGTGTCCTTCGCGCTTCTTCGAAGAGGGAAAAAGAGGGAAAAAAAAAGTTCTTTACCGAGGCCGAGAATGTCATCGTTAAACGGCCCGACAAGGACGGGCATTGCGCTTAAGCCTGGTCGACGGGCGACCTCGCGGGTTAAAGTTCGATTAGCACGTACGTCGCGAGATACGATCTTCGGCCGGTGGCCAGGTGGCCATGGCGACGGATCGTGAAAATCGCGTGGCCGGGGCCGATCAATACGAGCGCGGCTCCTCGGTCCCTGAGCTTCGCGCTTTCTCTCTCTCTCTCTCTCTCTTTCTCTCTCCTCTCTCTCGTTCTCTCTCGTCGCTCCACGAGAACCCCTTCCTGCCGTCGCCCCTGCGCGTTTCTGAGGGTGACCCCTCCCGCGCGTACGCCCCTTTCCGCGCGCGAAAAAGCGGCTCGTATACGCAAGTACGCAAGAGCGTGCGTGTAAGCGCAGACGGCGAGTTTCCGAGTTGCGGCGGGGGGGGGGGGAGAGCGAGAGGGGTACATCAGCGCGGAAAGAACGATGTGCGAACGCACGCACGCACACGAATACAAATGAGGGGTCGAGAAGAAAATGCGACAATGACACGTGCTCTCGAGACGCCGATCTCGAGAATGCGAGCGACGACAGAGGCGACGAGTGTATCCTTCCTGCCCCATTCGGCGAATCGACTCACTCACTCACTCACTCACTCACTCACACTCTCTCTCTCTCTCTCTCTCTCTCTCTCTCTCTCTCTCTCTCTCTCTCTCTCTCTCTCTCTCTCTCTCTCTCTCTCTTTCTCTCGCTCCGCAATAATCGATGCATTCCCCGGGGGTCGTTCAGACGCACTCTCGCGCCGACCTTTTACTCGCCAAGCGCCGACTTTTCACGTATATTTTTCCTTCTCGGTACCTGTTAGGGTCTCCTATTCTCTCTCTCTTTCTCTCTGGCGTGCCTGTCACTGGTTTCTCCTCTCCTTGTCGCACACGAAACCGAGCACCGTGCGAGCAGTCGGCCCTTGCGCGAGCCTCCGGCTCCTCTCCTCGTTTTATCGTTCTCACCACCGTCAATGTGCACTGTTATCACGCTACTGCTCTCGCACCACCGCCCGGAACAGAAGGGGAAATCAATGAAAGAAAAGTACGGCGCGAGCCCTCGTAAACCGGCATTTATGCACACCGTCCGACCGTCCTCGGTGCACTTCGTGACGGGCGACGGTCGCGTATCGACATCGACGACGACGGTAGCTGCTTTCGGCGTAGAGGCCTGACGCGACGAGAAAATGGGGGTGTCGGGGAGGACGGAGAGGGGGGGAAGGGGTGAGGGAGGAGAGTACGACGCGAATTCGGATCGGAGCGTGCCCGGAGCGTGGCAATGTACGATATGCGTGCGACGCGCGCGTATTTTAACGGAAGGGGACGGAAGGGTTGCGCGAAGATGGCCGAGAAAAAAAAAATTAAAGTTCGAAACACTAGACTAAGGAAACGGAAAGAACGACGCGACACGGGCGGAGGCTGCGTAGAGACTGGACGCCTCGCTCGCCGTCTAACCGAGGCGGCTTCGGCCGCCGCTCGCGGTCGCTCGGCCGTCCTCGGTCGTCATCGACCGTTATCGGCCATTCCCGGCCGCGTTCGGTCGCGCGTCGACGGCGCTCGCAGACGCGACGCCGCGCGTCGCGAGAGCGTATCGCGAACCCTTCCTCGCCCGTGATTCGCCCCCCTGGCACGCGCGAAACCGCGCGCGAGACAGGGTTGCTCGTCGAAGCGTGTTTTTAGATACGCGAATGCCCCGAAATGTATTTTTGAGTCCTCTCTCTTTTAAGTTACCGATTACGCGAGAAATACTCGCGACTCCTAACAGCTGATATTTAAATTTTAACGAAAAATTTTAAAGAAGAAATAAAAAAAAATTATCCGTTAATTTTGTCCAACAGTATATTTATGCAAGCATAAATTCGCGAGAGTCATATCTCATTTGCTTGAATTATTTCACGAAATTTTGACGGATCGATCGAATCACGTTGATACAAATTTAATAATAAATACTGCGAAAAGAAAAAAATTTTTTATTGCATATATCATATAGAAGTCCGAAATGTATTTTTGAGTTCTCTTTCTTTTAAATTACCGATTACGCGAGAAGTACTCGCGACTCCTAAACTGATATTTAAATTTTAATGAAAAAATTTAAAGAAATATGAAAAAAAATTATCCATTAATTTTATCCAAAAGTATATTTATGCAAGTATAAATTCGCGAGAGTCATATCTCATTTGCTTGAATTATTTCACGAGATTTTGACGGATCGATCGAATCACGTTGATACAAATTTAATAATAAATACTGCGAAAAGAAAAAAATTTTTTATTATTGCATATATCATATAGAAGTTCGAAATGTATTTTTGAATCTTTCCTCTTTTAAATTACTGATTACGCGAGAAATACTCCTAAAAGCTGATATTTAAATTTAAACGAAATAAAAAAAAATGAAACAAAAATTATCCATTAATTTTGTCCAACAGTATATTTATGCAAGCATAAATTCACGAGAGTCATATCTCATTTGTTTGAATTATTTCATGAGACTTTGACGGATCGATCGAATCACGTGAGGCAAATTTAATAATAAATACTGGGAAAAGAAAAAAAAAATGTTTATTATTGCATATATCATATAGACGTCGTGAAAATCATATCTCATTTGTTTGAATTATTTCATGAGATTTTGACGGATCGATCGAATCACATTGATACAAATTTAATAATAAATACTGGGGAAAGAAAAAAATTTTTTATTATTGCATATATCATATAGAAGTCATAAGAGTCACACAAAATTTTCACTAGAAACATATATACGTATGCATGAAGCTGAAAATATCCGAGCATACGTCACATATATGCAAACGAAAACTGAAAACTTCTTTAACGTGCAAAGTTTACGTTTAATTGCAAATCTTTCCGATCCAGTTTCATCAACCTAGTTCTGCACGAAAGGAAAAGGTGTGCACTTCAAACCCCAACTACATTTCCCCTTACCTTACCGGCCCTTCAGGGTTTTTGACCCCTGACGTACTACGGTATCGCATCGAGATAAGGGTCTCCCTCTCGTTTTTTACACCGTCCGTATTTGATCATAAATTCGCAAAAAACACACCGCATAATCTTTGCACCGCGTTATATCAGAAACAAATCGTTGTATGTATCAGAAAATATGTATAGCAAGAAAAAAATTCTCTTAATTGATAATATCGTTTTAATCGCAAATTTACATTAATAAGTTGTCATTAATTTAACAATTTTTATATACAAATTATTAACAATTATTAATTTAACATTAATAATTTTTATATATAAATTTCTTTGAAAGAATAATTAAAAAAGGCGAGATAACGTTTGATGGAAATAATCAAATTTTTTTCTTATTTACAAATATTGTACAAGGATCTATTGATTATAACTACATCATTGCGAATTTTACGATATTATAGCTATATACCCGGATAAAAATAAAATTTGATCGACACTCTATGTTTTGCGAAAGTGCCATCTCGTCCGCCATCCCTGACCTTAGTTCAAAGATCGAGCCGGTCCGTCTCCAAATGATAGAAGCCCGAAATTACACGGCTCTGACGAAACGTACCGAGTAAGACTTGGCAGCCGTGCCAATGAACGATGTGCTTGTGTGCTAATGCTTTCGGAAATTTATTCATACGAGCATCGGAATATATATTTTGACGAGAGAGTGTCACGACATTGAGGGATCGATCGCGTAAATAGAATAACTTTACCCTAAATAAAAGAGTTGGCAAATGAGACATTATGAACGGATGAAAGCACTTTACTCGTCGTTCATCTTTCATCCATTCGCGTCTTTAATTTAAATTTTTTTAATTCGCAAAGATTCACATTGTGGACTAAAATTCAGAATTTATCCCTTTAGATTTATTCCTTTAGATTTTGGATGCTTTTGCGCGATCGCGGAAAAAATAAGGAGAGATTTCTCGAGTCGCGCCCATGACCATACTTAATGCTACGCGTCGTCACCGTAGAATCTATAACGTTTGGTCAAGGTGGAGAACAAAAGGGGATAAAGTTTAGACTAGGGCACGGTTACCAACAGATGCCGGACATATGCAGAAAAGAAGCAATGTATGTGTATATATGTGTACGCTACGCGTGTATTGTTGCATGCGCATGCAAATTTACCTCGATATCAAAAGCTCGCCTCTTTTTAAACCATTCAATCGGGCAACTGACTTAAAAAAACATCTAAGCTTTCATCCCAACTATTAATAATTATTAAACAAATATTTGAAACCTATATATTTTTTATGTGATCGACAATATTTTGCATTTTCAAAATTAACGCAAAAGTTTTAGTCATACGATACTCGTTTGAATTCATCTGCTTTTTGATGTACGAACTCGCGCTGCAGTTTATAAATGATAAAATAGTTACGCAAGTATTAAATTTGTACGAGACGAGTACTGGGATTATTCAATGGGATATTAAAAAATGCGAAAAATACGCCGGTCACGTGGCGGACCCCGTGAATCATTCCTGTCGACAAACGCAGACCTCACCCTCTTTAGTTTAGTCACAATCCAGCTGTCGAAGCTACGTTTTCGGGGGTAGACCCTCGGCATCATCGATCTGGCACGGCGGGCACGAGTATAATTCTATACGGGGCTATACCTCGGGAACAATAATTCCGTCCGGCAACTTTTTCCGAGGTCATCGAACCTTTAACGAGATTCCGTCGATACCTCCGACTCGAAATCGATTTGGCCTTACATCGGTAGAACAAAGTTATTTAAAAGTGTACCGAGAATACACTGGTGCGTGAATATAGCATCACGCAAAATGATTATTGATTTAATAACAGAATTTAGTTGCTATTTCTGTACAGACGTAATTACATTCTCGAGAAATATTTGTATGTAATTGATATTTGGGGCATAAAAAATCTTTTGTAACTTGTTTTAATATTTACAAGCATCGAGTTTCACGAAGAAAACCATAGGGTAAACATTATGGATCGGTGAAGATATTTTAGTCGCGTTGAATATCGATCGAAAAATTAAAAATATAAAGTCATAAGAGTAGCCTGCTGCGTTTACAGAAAAAAAATAATTACACACTGTATTCTTGCGATTAGATTAGAATTTTTCTTTTAACTTAACGCGCGTAACAACATCTATAGATAGCAACTAGCGAGGAAGTTTTAACATCGGTGATTATGGATTAGCGAAAGTATTTAGAGACCGTACAAGTTTTGTAATAGTCTATATCAAGAAAACAAATAGTTTTAACTTTGACTTTCTGCATCATTTTACTTCATTTTAAATCCTGCATAATGTAATGCATTCTTAATTATTTATCAATTGAAATTATTTTAATAAAAAATGAGAATAAAATTTCTTTCATATATGTATAGAAAAAAATAAGTGTCAAATCAAAACTTATATACTTAAACTAACGCGTTCATTGTTTCGTATATACGCAACAATTTATAAATTTTAACAATATTATAATCTTATTTTAATCATTATAATTGTCATCTCAAGAATATATAATTATTTAATTCTACTTTAAGAAAATTATAATCTTTGATTTAAAAATGTTATTTTCCATCTAACATTGTTTCTTTTCCATTTAAGAAAATTAAATTTTAAATCATAAGAATATATTTTTCTTGATTAAACTATATAAAATGGCTTCATTCAAGTAAGCAATTATTCAAGCAATTATATTTTTCTTTAATTAACGCAATATAATCTCATTTCAAGATTTACATGTTAAAACTAAATATATTTTCAAAAGAATGTCCTTTTCTTCTATGTACACATTTGCGATATATTTAAATTTAAATATTTAAAATATTTCTGACTTTAAAACTAAAAAATTTTGAGCTGAAATATTTGAAGAATTTCTTTGTTTTATTTTCTCAGAAAAGGTTTATCAATTAATGCAACATTGTGCAATACCAAGATACACATCTGGTTAATTTCTCGCTTATGGTTTCGCGCGAAAAAATCCGCCGGAAAGCATAAAGTGTATGTTTTAATTAAAAATGTTCAACGTATTCACAAGTAACTTTTCATGATTAGTCACGATATACGGTTTGACATTTACAATCGGTTTAATATAATAGTTATTAATATTTAAGTTTAATTTCGATTAAATTTAAATTTGATATATTATATCCTGCAACAGAGAGAGAGAGAGAGAGAGAGAGAGAGAGAGATCTGCATAAAAATTAATAAATTAATGAAAAGATTAAATTATACTTCTTTCTCTCTGCTTATTTGTCCGTAATTCGAAATTCACGGAGCGTAATTAAATGCAGCGTTTGATCGATTCAGTATCAGACGTGATAAATTAATTTTTCAATAACCATGTAAATTCATCGCAAAGCAAACAAGTTTTACGAGCGATTGCGTAAATTCATTATATATTTTCTGTTTCAAGTAACACACGATTACGTGGTCGTTGTACATCCGCGACATGTTATGTGTCGTATCAAATATATGCATACGTACACACATATATGCGCGTATACATCACGAATGCGTATACATGATGTATGTACGCGTTTCTACAAGGCAATATTGTACATACAATGTGTGGGAAGCATCGAAGAGAGATAGAGAGAGGCACGGAGAAGCTTCATTGATTGGTCGGTGGCATGGTGGAACATTGCAGCTATCCTGGGGGTATATGAACCCTAATATATATATATATATATATACACGCGTGTGTGTGTGTGTATGTATGCTCTTCTCTCTCTGCCATTCCCCTTCTCGTCCCCTTTCCTTCTTTCATTCTCACTGTCTCTCTCTCTCTCTTTCTCTCACTCTCTCATACTCGTCTCTCGTTTACCCTCGCTACGATTTTACCCCGTAGTAAAACGCAGGCGCATCACATGGACCCAGGAACGATCAATACGAGGTTCCCCAACCAGACCTAGTCTCTCTCTTTCTCTCCCTCTCTCCCTCTCTCTCTCTCTCTCTCATTCTTTCTCTCTCTCCCCTGCTCTCCGTTTCTATTTCCGTCTCTTTCTCCGTCTTTCGTGATTCTCATTACCATCTTCTTTAGCCTTCTTTTACAAAATTGCGGCCAATCTTTGACATTTCGGCGTTGACTCGAAAATTCCGCGTCGAAAAACAAAGCCGATAGTCAATCGTAACGTTTCTCCTACACTTTGCATTCTTATTGGTCTTCGCGCAACCTTGCTCAAAGAATAAATTATATTTAAAAATACACTTATTATTAAATACCTTGTGTATGTATTAATACATGTATGAGATTCGAAACTCAAATTTTGCATGAACAAATTTCATTCATTCTCCTAAAGAATCGAAAATGGAATCTAAAATTCGTATTCAATTACCTAATAGCTTGGTAAAAAAAAAAAGGAAGCGATATCAAATTGATCTTCATCGGCTTTATCGTCTAATTCGCCCCCTCTTTAGCTCACGCACCATTGTAATCGAGGCCGTCGCGGACGGAAGTGTCCCTCTCGAGACATCCTGCTTGTCCTCGACAAGGACCCGCAGTGCCGGTCCCTGCTCCATCCCGGATCTGCTTGACGCTTCATCATGCATCGCGAAAGCTCGACGTCCTCGTTACTGAGCTATTTCAATTTGTTGTTTTTCGGTCGGGGTACGTTGCGGGATCGATAAGGGGTTGGATCGAGGAAGAGAGAAGCAGGAAGTTGTACGCGTATGTGTTTATGCGTATTGGGGTTGCGTGTGCTTGCGCGTGTGTGTATTGCGACATGGTGCTCCCGCGACAGTCGCTTTCTGGTGCCACGCCCAGAGGAAGAGAGAACGATCTGGTGCACACACAATATTGCGTCGTGGTAAGCGTCAGCTGCTGGACGCGGTGGTTATGGCGGTTGATGGACGTTAAATGCAACAACTTTGCCCCGTTAATGAGCCCCGGCGTCTAATAAGTTTTTATGTCCAAACTTGCTCCTTTTGCGTGAAGTCGCGCAATTGTTTTCAACATGGCAAGGTACACACAATAATAAAATATCGCGTGTACGAGAATCATTTAGGCACTTGTAATGATATTTCTTGATCAGCGCAAAAAAATGTAATTTTAATAAAATCTTTAAAAAAATTTTTTTATTTTAAACAATTAAAATTTTCTATAATTTCTTTAAATTTCTATAAATTTCTTATAATTTACTCTATAATTTCGTAATATCGCTATGAGACCAATTTATTTTCAAATTATTTAATTGTGATTAATTATGAAAGAAAATTCTAATCTTAATGGCAATATATATAATATCTTGGTCTTAATCGCGATATTTTTGTTATGCTTATGGAATACATTTCTTTCGCTAGTTTTAACAAGTACAATCTCCATTTTAATTCAATCTGCAAATGTTTATAAATGTTTATATCATAAATTCCCCATGAATTTAAGTAATACCTTTTATTTATATTTGTGTTACATATATATGATATTTATAAAAAAATTGGAAAATTAAATATATAGTCGATAAAAATTGCAAACATGACGGGAGCACCACAGGGAATTTTAGGAAAGATTAACCTAAGTAATACCGGAAGTTTTCTCGCATGAGGAATTCCAGCACAGAGGACGAACGTATACATAAAGATCGGCAGCCGATCAGTGTACGATAGACGTACACAGATCCGCTGATGAATAGTCAATAATTATAATGGCAATAATAACAACAATAATATAATAAGATAATAATAACAATAATGAGATAAAGATTTGTGAAAAATTACAGAAACAAAGAAAGTAAAGAAACAAACGAACATACCGGTTAACGATGAAAATCAGTGGTTGGAGGATGCCGATATCTGGGCGCAGAACGGAACGACGGTGGGTTTTATTTAATTACTTTTATTTTGTCCCTATTTATGCGCGTCCCTCTCTCGATATTTATCTCGATCACGATTTTAAACGCGTGTGCGTGTTTTTCGTAATATCTTTGTACAATTTTCTCTTATTCTGTCAACAAATTTTTCTATTACGACGCGAGACTCGAAGCGACGATCGCGACGATCGATCTGGAAGCCAGTTTCTGATCGTCAAGCGAGAGCTCCGACATTGAATGTCGCGAAAACGCGCGAATCCATAAATCGGATATAATTGCGAGCACTTGACATATAACTCGCGACGGAAAATAAACAAATCTCGCGCGCGACAAACACACCTAGTGTCTCTCTTTCACTCCCACCCCGACCAGCGAAACGTTCTCCCTTTTGTCCCTCTTTCTCTTTTCCCTCTTTGCCGATGTCTCCTCTGCCGATTAAAGTATCTTCCAGCTGACGATCTTGTTGCTCACGATACCGCTCTCTCCCTAACGCAATCAACTCCCATTCTCCGTTCACGATCGAATCGTCTTCGAGATATCGCGACGCGTCGATCAGAGGGATCGTCGATCGAGATGGATAAACGATTGGGACACTAAGAAAGTGCTCCTTGCGGCAGGACGAGTCGGGAATACGAGATGACGGAGAGTACAAGGTTGAGGATCGAATGAAATTAGAAGATTGGAAGAACACGGAAGATCACTCCTCTGCTTTATCTTCGATAAGCCGATTTCGTCCGGTAAACTTATCTTCCCGCACGACGTTCACGAGATTTTTCCCTGTGTTTTGTTCTTGGCGCGATTTTTCGGACGTCGTTCAACCGGTGATAATGATGTCGCTCGATCGAAACACGTGAACGGGACGAAGCGGTAGGAAATAACTGAATTTTTAGAGAACAACAATAACGACGACGACGACGACGGCGACGACTCCGACGACGATGGCGACGGCGACGATGACTGCAACGGTGATGACTGTGCTTTTGATTACGACGACGAACGATATACCGAACCAAATGTTTTTTTTTTCTTTTTTTTTATGCCGAATTGAAGGGTCAGAAAAATTAGGAGATATGCAAGCAAATAGTAAGAATGTTGCGGGTATAACGGTGTCTACAACGCAATGCCTTTATGTGGTGCGGTAACTAAACTGACGAGGCCGGCCTCCGATGTCGACGGTTGCACCCTCTGGACACCCGCCATCGTCCCCACCGTCTCGGGTCGTCGGAGGGAGCGGAAAGAAAGAGGGGATAGACTCAGGGCGAAAAAAATCGCGGAAAAAGCTCGATCGAGGGAGATTGGCGGCGATGTACGCAGACGCTGTTATTGTCGTTAGTCAAAGGTGAAGGAGAAACCGGGAGAGATGCGATCAGTTAGGAAGAAGAGGAGAGAACGGGATGGATGCGAAGAAGTGTGAGGGGACGCGGAGGAATCGGCGATGACGGCAAAAGGGTGGAAATTCGCGCAGACGTAATAGGCGGCCTGCACCCTCCAAATACCGATCGTCGGGGGTTGCTTGGTTGATTATGTGTGCGTCGTATTTCGATGCACATATTTCCAAACATCGCGGTGCAGCTACAGAGAGATTTTTGCAGTCATTATGCGCGCGCGACATCACGGTGATAATTGACGAATCGAGAAAGAGAGGATTATTGATTAAAATGATCGGCCCGGGAATTACGGGAAACAACTCCCCTCCGCGTCGGTCATTGCACGAATAAGTGCAGTTATACGAGAAAGGATAACTGTTCCATCGATCGGTTCATTTTGACGTCTCTCCAAAACTTTAATTTGGCATCGTTATGGGTCGATGTACCTAGTAATATTTTCCAGAATTAAGAATCTTAATTTAAATTCTCAGGCGCAATGCGGTTAACTCTAAACTGAGCTCTGCGAGAATTACTTTATATAAGTCATATACTAAATAGAAGAAAGAAAAAGAAATGAAAGGATATACTATCGGAGAAATATATGAATAATTTAGAAATGTAAATAATCTCTCTCCAAATACAACAGATTCGCATTTATTTATGGATCGATCGATAATTACAAGAAAATATGGGCCAATGTATAATTTCGTTAATTATTTAGATGGATTTTAATATTTTACAAATCTCTGACATGTTCAGAGCAAGGATAGAAAAAGGTTGAAAAGAGATAACAAAAATATAAAAAAAAATTTTTTTTAAATTGAAAGATTAAATGTAATCGAATTGTGATAAAATTTATACAGATCTTAATTTTCAAAGATAATACAATTTTAAATTAAACAACAACATTATACAGTTTTAATTAAGAAACAACAAATTATAAAAGAGATAGAAAAGAGAGTGGAAAGCTAATCTTTCTCTTTTTTAATTTCTTAATAAAAAAAAGAAAGAGAGAGAGAAAGAGAGAAAGAGAAAGAAGGGGAAAAAAGATTTCTAAGACAATAGCTATCAACTTTCAAGCTGTCATCGATGATAGAGGATTAAAAAGGGGATTAAAAGGGGGAAAGATACATTGGAGTGAACTAGAAGAACGCAAAAATTTCATTAAATTTATTTTAAAAGAAATGAACTTTTAAAACACAATGTAATTTGTATCAGCTGCATCATCCATCACACAGACCAATCCCGATCGATCGAGGTGCATTATGATGTCTGATCTTCGCGGGAAGTTGCTATGATTAATATCACGAGTGCACATGAACTTTTGAACAACTGTACATCGTCTCGATTATGGAGGGGCCAAAAGAGAAAGGGGAAAGATGCAGAGAGACGGACAGGGGTGAGAATAGTAGTCGGCGGAAATACGCACGCGCCATGGGGTTCATGAAATGGAGGGGTTGATAGCAAGAGACAGAGAGAAAAGCAGAGAGAGAGAGAGAGAGAGAAAGGGGGAGGATTGATAAAGGACTGGATAGCGCAAGCGCCAGCCAGGGGGTGAAAAAGCTCGCTCATTCCCTTGGCAAATGGCTTTTCGGTAACGCGAATGCCAAATTTCATCATGCGATGTGAATCCCATATTCTGTTTGATCAAATAAAACTGCACTTCTCAAAGCCTTTTCATTCATGGTGATTTTACGCAAAGCTATCGATTCGTTCATAAAAAATAAATTTTGCGTGAAATATTTCGAAAGAAATCAAATCTCTTTTCTATTTTTATATCATTTTTATATCATTAACTATGAAATTAATGTTAAGTTTTAATATTATGTAAAATATGTCTGAATGAATCAATCATAAGGAAAACAATTCAATTATGAATAGTATCACTTTATAAAATTGCATAAACAGATTATGATAAACTTTATAGAGGCAAAGGCCCTCCCATTCTATTTTTATGCTAAAACTTTATTCATTATCGAGTTAATATCAAGTAGTTTGGATTCAGTATAGTATATAGAAATAAAAAAAAAACACATGCGAAGAGCGAACGTGCTTATCTCGTGACTGCAATCTCATCTGCGATCAGCAACCGTGAATAATAGCGCTAATACATAAGGCCTACCGATCGATTTTCTTAGGCGTGTGGGCTTATTTGTTTCTGTTCTATTACGCATGACGTTCGTTTATACGAGCAGTGTGACAAACGATTTTTTAATGAGTCATGTCATGGATAGAGGCGAGAGAATCGATAAATATCAGGCGCGATATGTACTAATTGGTTTCTCGTCTGCGCCACATTGCATGTACATTTTGATATTACGAAATACGAGAGATAAACGAAACGATGCGTGGAAGAAATCGCCGCGGCGGAACAAAGAGAAAGGGAGAAAGAAAGAGAGTCACAGGGGAGAGGCAGAAAGGGACAAGGGAGACAAGGGGTGTAATCTAATGGTAAATAGCACGTATGCATATAAGGGTCAGTCGAAGTGCGTCCCAATGGCGTAGGTAACTGAATGCTAGTTATCAATGCATTTGAAATGGACAATTTTGGTAAGTCTCAGATGTCTTACGATACAATAAAAAATATAGAGACATAAAAAAACACTAAAGTTCACCTATAAAATAAATAATATAGTCCAATCTCTTATAATTAGATGCTAATGAAAACTTGAATTTTATAATAAAAGAGAAAGATATATTTAAAAGTGATTATAATACATTTTTCAAAAGGTTTTATGAATTTATATTATAATAATAAGCTATATATATTGTGTACCTTTCAAAGGACTATACGTGCTGTTAATTTATATTACTATAATAATGATCTATTATTATATAATATTTTATGCACGCGTTTTAAAATTATGCGAAAAATCTGACGGTGAATTTAATATTTAATGCTGCTCTTTCGTGTACGCTATTACATTAAATAACTAATTATACATTTTTCAAATTTGCATGTTTATGCATATATTAAGAGAACGATGCTGAAAATCTCGGCATAATTACCAACTGGAAACATCCCATACAGCACAGAATATTGCAATGTTCTGTATGGGATATAACGAGACGATCGTTGATAGCGAAAAAACCATTTATTCTCGTTTCACAATCCCTCTCAACATATCTTGCGACAATTATAATTTCAGGAAATAATTTGTCAAGATTTATCGTTATACATTACAATTGTCTGTGACAGATATCCAGTCTATTCGCTCATAAAACTTGTCGATCGCAGGCAATCGATTGACGGTCGCACCCACCCCCGCGGGTCTTAATCGTCAAAGGAGTCTAGACACCTTCCAGAGGAGGTCGCATAAATTCCGCGAGAGGACGGCGTGGCAGATAATTTACGGGCGCGCTTGTCCTCTTTGTGCTTCCGAATGTCCTAGGGAAACCGACGCGCCCATTCCACCCCGAGTCATTCGTCCCCTTCCTACGCCACTGGGAGGGTAGACCGAGGGGTGCCAGCGTCAGACGGGGCCGCCGGCCGGGGTTCGGAGGGTGGGGGGGAGGGGGAAGGGGGAATTCGGAGGGGGTCTTTCGAATATCGATCTCCCCGCGCGTTCTCCCAGTCATTCACTCTCTCTTCCGTGCAGCGCCGTATCCCTCTCGCCACCCGGTTCGCGCGCACCCAGCACTCTCCCGGAGAGTGGAAGGGGATGCGAAACAGGCGGAAGGGAGGGTGCGCCGAGGGGAGCTTCGCCCGGCGGTCCCAGCCAAAGCCCGGAGGAGGAGGGCATTCACCAGGGAATGCGCCGCCACCAACTATTACCACTACTACTACCACCACTAACCGACATCCAGAAAAATGTCCTCGGGAAATTGGTTTATCGGATCTTGCAGCAGGAATTACCCCTCTCGCCCTCCCTCCCTTTGCCTCCCCGTGCTATCTAATTTGCATTCTATCTTTGGAAATTCGTTACATCGTAGCCTCCTTCGCGGCTATCTAAATTCGCAGAGGAAACGAAAACGAAGTAGAAAAATATAGATCGACGATTTTTGAACTTCTCGATGGTCTTATTATATAAATATCAGTCCCTGCATTGTTTAAGTAAATTTTTGTACGCTTAATTTTGCGGCAAATTATTTCTTTTATATTTTATTTATTTTATGCCTTTTATTTATAATAATTGTAAGTTTCTTTCTTCCTCCGTAATCATTAATTCAAAGTTGCGTAATTGTAAATTGTTTTATGATACGCTAAATACATAATGTAATGTATTATCTTATCTTTTTATTATACGAATTTATTATATTAATAATCGTTTCTATGTTCTATTTATAATTCGACATGCTATTCTCGAACTTTGACATCAGTAACAAAAATCATCAGTTATTCTCTTTGTCATATTATTCTCTTATTTTGCCAAATTTCCGCGTAATTCCCTGCAAAAGGAGAATGTCCTGTGCGTCTTAATTCATTTATCAAGCGTAAATTTGTCGCACAGCAAACGGAGAAGTGAATAAGCGACGTCGACATCTCGTTTGCGAAATTATTCGCGGAAATGTCACCCCGGAGCGCTCGAAGAGAATCGTTACCCTTCGCCCCCCCACGCTCCTCGTCCACCCTTTTCCGTCGCTTCGCTGCCCGGATCATCCCTCTCCTGGACTAGAGTTTGCCCTGGGATAGGATGGATGGTTGCACCTTACGGCACGGGTGATGCACGCGCATTCAACGGATGTGAGACATTGCGTGGACTCTAGAGCGAGCCTGCGTGTTACATGCGTACCGCACAAAGGTAGTTTGCATGTATATTTATGCGTATCTCGTCCTCTCTCGGCGTATTTTTGTAACAATCGAATTTCATGCGCGCAAATTATATATCGACCCCATCTCGTCTCCGCCCGCCTCATCCAGACGTTACATAAGCACGCCAAATTGCGAAATTACAGACAGGTCGGAGAAGCGACGAGACTACGGATCGGAAATGACGTGACTGGCTGCTAACTAGCATCTGATTTAACGGCTGTAAAACTGTAATTTTCTAGGTAACGAGCTGATTAACATTTTAATTGAACGCTGGTAAAGATAATTACGCGCGAAAAGTAAAAAGACTTCTCGTTAATATATTTTTAAATTAAAAAGTCTATATTGGAATTAATTTCCAATTAATCTGCGTTCATTAAGGAAGAGAGTGTTTCATAAATTTCAGGTGCTAATTCAATTCTTATTGCTTAAGAGGCAAAACTAAATCCAAAATACGTCTTCTAGCATTCTAAATGTTTGCGTTTCCAGGCTATTTATAATGGAGATAATTTTCCGTTTTATAAAATAAGTTAAATGAAATACGAAAATATACGTTTTGCGTCAAATCGCGAGTTAAACCTGCTTGAATTTTCATTTTCCCGTCTAGACAAGAGTTTATTTCATCTGCCAGCTTATCTGGAACATTGCGGTGCAAGATAATCGCGTTGCTCGAGACGCGTATACATATCGATTCAACAAACCAAGGAAACCAGAATGGACTCGGCGACGCAGTCGCCCAGTAAAGTCGTGGTCCGGGTGGTCCAGTCTGAAACAAGTCCTACCGATCAGGTCCTGCCGACATGTCCGATGCCGAAGAAACCGGTACGTACATATTATATCATGTGTCCTTCGCGATCGTCCTCGAACCGACTTGCGAGACCCGGATTGTGATTGCGCTATCGCAGACACGCGGGACGTGTCCGGTTCTCGATGAATCTCGCTCGCGATCCGTCAAATCGATCGAATCCGCTGTTCGAGGGATCACGCGAGGATTATCACGCGCTCGCCGATTGCACCCTGACATTTCCCATTTCGCACCACTGTCGGTTCGAAACTCCGTCTGGGAAAGCGACGTCACGTACGTGAGCACCGGTTGTCAATCATTCGGTCGGACAAGGTTGGCTCTAGCATCAACAATCGACGTTTTTTTGAGCCGTCTCTTTCACACACACGTAAAAGTAAAAGCCGAAAGTTTCGTCAGTTAATCGAACGCGCTTTACATCCTGATAAAGTGTACAAAAGTTATGCTGCGAATCGCGAAATCGTATCTTGAAGTCATATTCCGGTAAGTAAATAAAGTTTAATTTTTCTTATATGTATTGTTATATTTTCTCTCTCGTGATCTTTTTAAATAGCAATGAACAAATGATACTGAAACAAATGATGTTCATCCTTATTGAATCTGAAATTATGGTTGTAATTATTTATTAAGGGTTAATTATTGCAAAATAAATTACTATCCATGTCACTAAATTAAAAATTACTGTGATTAATATCATAGAAACTGCTAAGATAATCTAGCACCATGAGAATTCCGCGATAATTTATGGAGTAAAATCACAGGTGTCTATCGAATTTTAATTCACGACGATTTCGTACATAGCAATTAAATAGCAATTAAAATGGATTAAATTGAACGCGAAAAATGATTCTCGTTATTTTTGATGCAATAGAAATTGTTGAATTTTTAACGCGAATTCACCGTATATTATTCGCATATTATTTTACATTTTCCATTTTTAACTTTTATTTAATTGAATAAACTTGAATAACCTTTAATTTGAACTTTTCGAACATTGTTTGAATTTTTCGAGCATTGTTAGTCGCTATTCGTTTAAAAAATTTTACAATATATTTTGAATATAATCGCAATGAAACATAGTAATCCTTCTTTTATCCCGGTAAATAAAAAAAAATCTCACTCCACTTTTTAATACGAAAGATGCGTAGAGTTGATAAAAATATTACAGCGTTTAGTTTTTGCAAATAATTTAGAATATAAGTAATAAGAATGTAATATTCAATTTAGGTACATGAAATAGCGTTTATTTATTAAATTATTTAATTTCTCGAACATATTTATTACGAAATTGTAAGAGCGAATAGTTTCTAAATGCAATTATATTGAAAAGTTTATAGAATTACAGTTGAACTAGTTATAAATAATTATTATCTAATTTACTAAAACTTTCGAGATTTAAATTCCAATTTATTAAAACTTGTCATTTTGAGATTTAGATTCCACATATAGAGAGAAAATCTTATAAATTCCCTAAATAGTTATCTTCGAATTTTATAAATATGAAAATAACACAACAAGAAAACTAGCGATTACGAGCCACAGCGGATGGTAATGCCTAAAAATTCTTTAATTGTACGCGAAAATTTAAACGAGAACGAGGCATATGCATATATTCTTAATTATCTTCAGGGGGGTAAAGAGGGTTTATAGAATTTTCAAAAATGAGAATCTATATCTTGGTAAATGCACCAAGTAAAATATATGCATATGTCTCGTTCTCGTTTAAATTTTCGCGTACAATTAAACAATTTTTAGGCATTACCATCCGCTGTGGCTCGTAATCGCTAGTTTTCTTGTCGTGTTGTTTTAATATATATCGAACCTAATTCCTTTCGATTTATTTTATAAATATGTTTTATAAATATAAATATAAATATAATATATTTATTTTTAATGAGAGAGCATATTTATATACATTTCTTGAATTAAAATAAAATTTTCTTATCGATTTTTCGAATTCTAGCACTCTTCGGAACGCTGAATTATTTAAAAATTAATATTTATTTGAATTTATTAAGAAAATATTTATTAGAAAATTTATTATTGTTATTATTATTTATTTATTAGAAAAATAGTATTTATTGGAATTTGCACAATATACATTAATGAATTAAGATAAAATCTCCTTAAGTATCACACGAGTAATTATCTCGAATATTACATGTGAGACGTTACTATTCGATAAAGTATTTAATATTTCTTGAAAAAATATGATGTGTAACCTTTTATTTCCGTACACTGAATTATTGATGAGCTATAGCATCTTGATGTAAAGCTAGTATACCTTTTCCGCTTGTGGCAGAGGGACATAATGCTTTTAGTCACAAAGTGCGACATTTATGTTATCAGATGCGATGGAAATAGATATCGAGTGATCTGAATTTAGATCTGTGTATTGCCATACAGAATAGGCTACATATTTTTATGATAAGAAGTGCGATAAAAAGTCGATTTTCCATGGAACTTTGTATATTATATTAGACGACCGAATGACAGAAATATCCCGAATCTCTTTGTCATTCTCTCCTTCTTTAAGCTTTCCGTTTCTGTATGAGACAATACTTTTTTCTTGAATTGTAAAAATATTCATAGAATAATTGTATCATCTTTAAATAATTTTACTGAATCGCGAAAAAAAAAATTTTATCATTTAACGATATTAATATTATTAGATTTTGAATAATTATTAACATATCTTATTAAAGGGACAAGAAACGTCTATCAAATAATTATATAGGTGAAGAAACTTATTTGAATATGTAATTTTTATTAAAAAAAAAAAAATTTATTCGATAAAGCTTTTTAAGTAAGTAACAAAAAGTTTTATGTAACCTCTGCAATATCATGGTCTCTTATCTACAATTAAGTCAACTTTTGGGAACCGGGGTAACATGAGTACACCGTTTTATTCTATTTGCCAATTCTATAAAACTATCGCGATTTTCACCAAGCCCCAATCACGCTCTCCTCTAATCTCGGTTCATCTATAATCGAATCAATCAGAGAGTCATGCTAAAACTCCCTCAGAGATTTCGTGACCGCAAATGAGTTTTCCCGGTTTATAATCGAAGCTTCGAATCGTGGGCGAAAGAAGAGGGCAACGGGGAGCTGTCGAGAGATCGCACGTACGAGATCTTTGACGCTTGGCAGCCACGCGAGTTTCCTGCGAACCGATTCCCATTTCTCTTGCATTGAGTTGGCTCGTTCACGCGAGACTCGCGAACCGGGAGATTCTGCACGAAGGCGTGCGAAACGCGGGGAATCCGCTTTTATCACGTAGGCGGTAACACCTACCAACTATAGTGTAAAGCCGATCGTCTTGCACGAAGCCGTCAGTGCTTCATCTTCCGCCCGATAGGTCAGAGTGTCGTTTGCTTCATGTTTGCTCTAGCCTGAGAGACGTCATTCACTAATAGTGCCGGACGAACGTTCTATCGACAGATTGTTTCGAGTCATTTCAGGAGTCATGGCCTTCTCTTGCGAAGGACGAGACCCTCTGGAGCATACCAGTCTTTATCAGCGCGCGGGTTAGATATCTTTGCCGTTCACTCTACGAATCGCGTTTCGATAATATTTCACCGTTCGTAAAATTTGTACTTTAAAAATTGCAAGATAACGTGTGCGTTTAATCGATACAGTCGTAAAATGATAACGCGTCATTATCAACATTATCATCTATATTTTTCCTCGGAATTATCGTGGCTGCAAAGTCTAATATATCGTCATATTTTAGGTTTATCTTTTCGTTTAATTACATTTAATTTACTGGACCGATGCTCTTGTAGAAAGCGAGGATAGCGATGCCGAGGGTGGTCTAGGTAACGTGAACAAGATGGTGATGCGACCACCTGATCATAGCGGAAAAGCTAAGAAGGGACACATCTGTTTCGACGCCACCTTCGAGAGCGGTAATCTCGGTAGAGTGGACTTGATCTCCGAATTCGAGTACGATCTTTTCATCAGACCTGACACCTGCGGACCCAAGTTACGTCTATGGTTCAATTTCACCGTAGACAATGTGAAGGCGGATCAACGAGTGATCTTCAATATTGTGAATATCTCGAAGAGCGCGAATCTCTTTCGACAAGGAATGACGCCGTTAATGAAGAGCAGTAGTAAACCGAAATGGCAAAGGATACCGCGAGAACAGGTGAAATTTTGAAAAGTCAATAATATATTGTTTCTGAGAAAGAGAGAGAGAGAGATTTATAAATTTTAAATTGAACGTGAAATTTTCAAACATCGACAAAGATAATACTTTAATTTATCTCAGCGATAAATGAAAATTTTTAATTAAAAGTTTAAAAGACTGTCAATTTTAATAAATTTTTTCGTCAGGTACCAAATAATATACCAAATAATATACTAAATTTGCAATTATATACAATATGCAGATGCATATCTACATCTCTGAGGCAAATTTACATCGCGCGATTGACATAGACGTTCCAATTTATTGGCAATATTGCCGGTTTAAATCTAGAGAAACTGTGTCAGAGCGAATTCCAATATCCAATTACTTCATCAAGCACCAATAGTCTTTTACATTAGAATTATCGGTATCATAAATCGATCGACGATTACTATCGCTGACGTGATTGATTGCTATTATAAATTTAATCAAGATATTCTTATATAAGAATTTTTAGATAAAAATAATGTGAATAATGTGAATAATATTCTCACATCATAACAGAATCTAAAAATAAACTCTCATCGTTTACAATAAATTAGCATTTAATTATATCTTACTTAATTCTATTTCTCATGTCAGATTAATCGAGAAGTGCGCGATTACTAATCTATGCGCGATTCATATACAAATGATTGTCTTGAAAATAGAATTAATGATTGACTAGTAATAATTTCTCAACTATTATAAAATAAAATGTAAGATATAGTTAAATTAATTATTTTAAAATATAATGTAAGATATTATTAAATAACTATTTCAGAATATAATATAAGGTGCGATTCTACGAAGATAAATATAATTGCAATTACCTTCACAAATAATTAACAAAAATTGCTTGTGCCTCCACTGATGCTTGAGTCTCTCTCGATGTCCTCTTGATGTCCTCTTTTCTTGTTCTTTGCTGCTCTTTCATGGCACTTGCACAACACTCACTCGCGAAAACACTCTTAATTACAATCGCACGCGCACTAATCATCGAAACTGATGATGTTGTGTTATTTTATATAACATTCCTGATGTTATAATCACACACAATCTATACTTTATTTTATATTGCGACAGAAAAATGTGAAAATCATAATACACGATACGTAGTTGATGATAATTAAAATACGCAGTTAAATAAAACTGTAAAAATTAAACGTATCATGATGTCGCTCGATTTAAAATCGATTATGTTGATAAAAATTATTTTGTTGAAAAAAAAAACATTTTATTAATAATAGAAAAATCCGGGAATTTATAACTTTATTACGCGATACATGCGAGTTAATGACTAGTTAAAACATAATAATCGCGAAAATTAATTAATCGCTAATTGTAACGAAGCGAATATTCGCGTTTGACACGTCTTTTAATACTTGTCGCGATCGTATTTCTAGAAATAATACGACGACATACATGAAACGTTTCGCGGAGTTTTTTGCTTCGAGTGTCACCGTTGACTGACAGCAAGATTATGATATGTAAACAACAACGTCCGACACGTCATCAAGTATTAGCCCGCTATTATTTATTTACATACTTGTAGAGGGGGAAATCTTATCACCCGTACGATGAGATTGTAGCAGAAAAATATTATGGTCATATTATCTCTTCTAAAACGCAATAATATATTTCCGAATTACTGAAGGTCATCATATCTGATATTATATTGTGCAGTTGATAAACTTTTTTGATTATTATATCTCTAGCTTTAACTCGCGTAGTATCGCGCACTCTTAGGATAAAATTGGTCATATTATTTTCAGATTTTTCAATCATATTAAAGAATATCGCGAATATGAATATATAAAATGAATATATAAATTATTATTATAAAAGATAGAATTATAAAAGATAATATTATAAAAGATAAAATATAAAAGATAAAATTATTATTAAAAATATGTACATATATTATCTATTGATAGAGATAACATTCTATGAATTTTCAATGCCAAGCGAATCGCAACTTTACGATTTTTACATTTTTCTATCACAATATAAAATAAAGTGTACGTCGTATGATTAACGTTAGAAATGCTACGTAAAATATCGTACAATTATTGTATTCTAATGATTAGTGAATGCGTGATTGTAATTAATGTTAGTTTTGCAAATGAGTGTAATATGAATATCATGAAGGAGTAGCAAAGACAAACAAGAAAATAGGAAAAGAGGCAATCAGAAAAGATCAGGCGAGAATGGAAAACATGAGGTGAACAATTTTATTTATTGTTTATTATTTTATTATCTGTCAAATTAATTGTCCAGTTCTCTCTTTCAGATAATATCTTTACATTTTGAAATGTAAGAATTAAAAACTGATCAATAACAGATTACCTTTAGATGATCGCTCATTTGTGACTCGGATAGTCCAGAATTCTTCGATTTTGCTTTTTCTATTTTTATTAATGTTATAATGAATTTTCGAATTAATTATTCTCGAAACATATCAATACTGAATTTAATACTTGCAAAATAAATTCAAGAAATAATTGATAATTTGCTTTACGATATTAACTTCACACAGAAGTGGTATTTTAAATAATTAATTCAGAGAATAGTTTTAATATCAAAATCAAAAGAATAATTTAAAAATTTTTTCATTCTTATAAATTAACATCATATTCGACTCGTTTTTTTATATTAAATAATAAATATATATTTCGAGAGAAATTTTAACATTAAAATCGAAGAAAGTTTACATTAATGTTATTCTTGTCATATTTATTCTAGTAATATTGAGGACTGAAGCATTACTTTTTAAATTTATTTTACGACAATTCATTCAAAACGAGATTTCAAATATAATTTGATTTTATATAAATTATTTTTCATAGTTTATTCCGATCTATTCCTTCATGTTACAGGTATTCTATTACAAATCTGCGCAGCATCAGAATCACTACGTATTAAGTTTCGCTTTCGCGTTCGATCGCGAAGATGACATCTACCAGTTCGCTCTAACATACCCGTATTCGTACAGTCGTTATTTGGGGCATCTCGACAACCTATGCAGCAGATTGTTATATACAAAGAGAGAAACGTTGGCCGAATCAATCCAAAAGAGGAATGTAGAACTCGTGACTATAACCTCCGACCTCGAAGATACGGAACGACCTAGAAAGGTGGTCGTCGTTCTCGCCAGAGTTCATCCTGGCGAATCGCCGTCCTCTTTCGTGTGTCAGGGATTGATGGATTTTTTGGTCAGCGCGCATCCCATCGCCCAGATTCTAAGAGAGTATGTGATATTCAAGATAGTGCCGATGCTGAATCCCGATGGCGTCTTTCTCGGAAATTACAGGTACAAATATTCTCGAGAAATAATCGATTTTTATTCACCCGTTTTAACGTTACTACTTTAATAATTCAATGATGAATTAAACGTCAATTTAGAGAATAATTTTATATAATTTTATATAACATGTACAATAATATTTTTTTGTAATTTTATACATATGTAAATAATTTTATATAACTGATGCTTGGTACATTTTATGACCAGATAAATAATTTTATTTACATTTATTTTTAAACAAAAATATTATTTATTTGGTTAAAAATATTATATATTTTTAAGGAAAATATATTTTATTTTTTATGAAGACTATATCGCAGAACAATAATATATAATACAGCCGATTATTTGATTAAGGTCTACCGTGATGGGATTAGATCTGAATCGATCCTGGAATCACATCTCCGAGTGGATTCATCCTACTCTACTCGCGACTAGATCGATGCTAAAGTCTCTCGATAAGAATTCGCACACACCATTAGATTGCGTGTTAGATCTGCACGCGCATACTAATGCCACGGGTGTCTTTGTCTATGGAAATACGTACGAGGATGTCTACAGGTAACTCTAATCTCGTTTAGCGGTGAGTCAAGCAATATTAGGTATTCCATTAAGCCGAATTCGTGACAGAACTAGATTATTCTAACGAGAATATGGAAAGTTAATAAATCAGTCGAGCTTGTAATCCAATCTGACTCATGGCTGCCAGCCCCTCAGGTACGAGAGACATATCGTCTTGCCGAAATTACTAGCTCAACACGCTGAGGACTACGAACTAGGCAACACCATGTACAATCAAGATCACAATAAAGCTGGAACCGCTCGACGTTATTTGTGCTCTATTTTGAAGGAGCACGTTAACTGTTACAGCATAGAGGTTTCCATGTACGGTTACAATAAAAAAGGGATACCCGGTATAATGCCCTACACGGAAGAAGGATGTATCCTTCATACATAATCATATAAACCCCCCCAATCATTATATAAATTATTTGAAGTAATTGCACAAGCGAATGTTAAAAATAATTATTTTTACGTTTCGTTGAATTTTATTAAGAGTTTCGAATACGGAAAATAGTAATTATACGCGATTTATGTCAAAATTTAGCATCAATACTGATTCGCTGATCTCTAATTAGGAACATTTAAGGCCTTGACTATCAGAATCGAATACAGATTACAGGCTCGGTCGCAATTTGGCTCGCGTTTTTCTGGAATATTACAAGCTTACTGGACTTATCCCGTCAGGGCTTCCCGATCAGCCGTCGAATAGGCGAACGCGTCAATCTCGGCAGAGACATCGATTTCCAAGAGAGCCTAGACCGAAAACAGTGAGGACTCCAGCGACTTTGCATCTCGCCAGCATTTATGAGTAATTATTTCAATCATATATATACACATATATATTCAGGGTGTTTTTTAATAAGTGCGAAAAATTTTAGATGATTCTTTGTCGAAAATTAAGGAGGATTCATATACATCCCTCTCTGTGGAATTACACTCCTCCAAAAATGGGGGTAAAAATTAGGTTTTTATTTTTTTCTCAAATTTGGAACACAAGTTAAAGAAATGAAATTAGGTGGATATTTTCTACTAGTAAAAAGGTTATTTATTAATATTTTTTTCAGCCTCTCGTATTGTTACAAGGGGATGAAACTAGCAACCCCTATTCAATTTTTTATTAGAACTTTTTAATGTTTATATGAAAACCCCCCTTAATTTTCGACAGAGAATCGTCTCCTAAAATTTCTTGCATTTATTAAGAAACACCCTGTATACATACATGTTAATTGTAGCATGTTAATTGTAGCATAAAACTATCGTCTCTATTATAAATTATATTTATATTAGAGACGAAATTAAGAAAAAAGCTATTTATTTCAACATTACAATAATCAGCTCTCTTTCGAATATATACGAATAAATAATAGGGAACCAAACAATTTGAATGATGCAAGACAAATTGAGTTATCTAGAAGCAAAAAATTATGTAAAAATGTCAGTTCAAATCTAAGATAGAACGACGCGTATTATTTATCGAGACGTATTAGAAACCGGCTAATCTCAGGGCCGAATCGTCAGGTATTTTCGGGAGGAAGCTGAGCCGCTCCCGAGCTCTCGTTACCGATCGATGAGCGGTACGCGGATGGGACAGCAGTCCGGAACTGGAATCGCGAATGAAACTGGAACGGGCGTCGGCGGCGGGTGCAGGGACCGGAGCTACAGGTTCCGGAGCCCCGGGGCACCGCTCGACAAGGTGCAGGCCCTGATGGGGCGGCCCGCCGCCGAGCCGCGACTCACCATTATCGATTTCAATCAGCTGACGCGGGGTGGTTTGGAGCTCGCAGCCACCAAGAACAGATCGACGGTTCCACGCAAAAGCGTCAAGTCCCGCAGATAACGATCGTCTCGCCTCGGACTTGGTCGTTTGTAAGAAGAAATCTCCGCGACCTGGCGAACTGCGAATTTAAAGTCCTCCGGCGATTCGAATACGCTGCTTTTATTTTCTAGAGGCCGGAGTGAGACTTGGAAATTTGCATCTTATATCTTAATAATGACAATATATAAATATATATTGGTTTATATAGGGTATAAACGGAGATGAACTATTGCATCGAGATTCATGTTACTTTTTGCGACGAAAACAGAAGCAGGCTATTTATACGAGAAGAGAAATACATCTCGGAAACTATTTATTTGTCATTATTATTATTATCAATTATTTTCGTTTTCGATTATCAACAGTTTTCGTTTTTTTATAAATAAACCGAATAATTTCGGTCTAACAAAATTTAAATAAAACATTAACGTAGTATATATGTATTTCTCATAATATGCATAATTCTTTCACGGATGCACATAAACTATCAAATTTTCAAAACTTTCTCTTATATTTATATATTCTTATCTTCTTCTTTTTAATAATAAATAATAATTATTAATAAATTAATATAATAAATAATTATGATTAAATTAGTCAATAATAATTGTTCAACTTGTTAGATTTTACCAATGAAATTATATATACATATATCTGTCTTATGACATGTTTACACATACAATTTCTAGCTATATCTGTTACATTTATCACAGTTTATAACACTATTGTTGATATTATGCTGTGTAATACTAATTCTTTATTTCTACGTTCAAACATAAATATTGTTATGCATATTAAATAAAACATTAAAAAGCATGCTGTTATCGATACCATTTCCGAATTGCATCTAGAATACTTTACAAAAACCTGTAATATAATTACATATATTGTAATAAATAATCGCCATACAATTTTGAACCTTGTTAGACATTACATTACAAACTCGGAAAATTCCAACACAATTTCACGTTCACACGTCATTAATACTTTATATTTTATCATTATTTTCATATCAAATAATTTATTCGTACTTCAAAGTAGAACGGAAAAATTTGACGGTGACAATTTCTGACTAATAATTTTTCAATTAAAAAAAAATGAAAACTTAAAACTGCTAACATAACGAATGTTCCTCGGGAAGAAACAGCAAGGTACAAAATTGATTCTGTGAAGACACCTCGATTCAGGTTTTTATCAATCACACACGTGGCGATCGATCGTACGCTATCCGGATGCTTTTCGGAAACGGTCGCGATGTTCCGTCAATGCCCGATTGACAGCGATTGCACATACCTGAGAGAATGCGAATTACGTTTCCTAAAACTCAACGAACCCGCGCTCGATGCACGCGCGCATTGGATGGACAGAAGACGCAGGTACTACGCGATGGCCCGTTACACCTGGCCGGATACGGACCTAAGGATACTCCGGATACTGGACGCGGGTGTGTCCGTGCATTTATAACGACGACAACGACGGGAAGGTCGGTATACTAATCGTGCTTGCGAATTCAACCACGAACAACGAACAAACGAATTTACCGTGTGCGTGTATACATGGGTACGTGTGTGTGTGTGTGTATGTGTGTGATACGTGGGTACGTTGTGCGTGAGAGAGCGGGTCCCTGCGTAACGACGATGTGTGCGTGTATGTTTCCGGATATGTGTGTACGTGTATATGTGTGCCGAATTTGCGATTATATATTATACGTGTATATGTCAATCAATCGGAACTGAAGAGGAACTAAAACGGAAAGAAATGAAACTATAGCGAAAGAAGGGAGCAGACAAGCGGCCAGTAGCTCTTCTACCCCTGGGCTCGAGACGGAACTGGCCCGTGGGCCGCTCCAGCGGGCTCGCGAGACCCCCGTCTACGATCCCCCCTTCTCAATCCCCCTTCCCACCCTGCTCACGGTAACCCTCTTCTTTTGCCAACAACCACCACCGCTCGTGTCCCCTTTCTCCTTCCTTCTCCTCCCTTTCCTCGATTGCCGCCCCGTTCTCGCGTTCTTGCCGCCAGGAGTGCGTTTTCCTCCCTTCCGTACCGCCCCGTGCATCCCCCTCGAACTGGGCTGGGTACTTCAGGGTTGGACGAGAGCAGGGCGGTGGTCGTTGAACCAGGTATATAGCGGCTGATGTCTGCGTCGTGTCGGTTGCGCAGCAACAAAACGACCCTTACTACCGCCGTGTCATCCCGCCGCCCCCCTCCTCGTCCCTCGTCCACTATGCGCGGGGTTGCAACCCCCATGCACCCTGCCGCTACAGCGCAGCTCTCGGACGGTTTCCCAGGAGAAGCGACTAACCTCCGCGAACCCGGGCGAAGGGAGAACCGAGTGACGATCGGGATGAAAATGCGGAGAGGCAGGAGGGACGGATCTGTGCAACGGAGTCGACGTGTACGCGCGCCAGTGAATTAATATCGGGATTCGCCGGGGCCGAAATGATTTAATTCCGGATTTTAATCCGGGCTTTTATCTGCGCCTCGATACCAGATTATACAAGCGTCGACTCTTTCTTTTTCACCCTTTCTTTTATCTGCCGTATACGCGGGAACGTTGCCAAGAACCGGCGACTGAGCTTCCCTCACATTTTTTTGCCTTTTTCTTATAAGATTAAGCGTTTTATTGCTTCTGCGAGAAATCTTATATCGGGACTGCTAATTACTCGCGTTCGTCTTTTCGTCGTCTTTATATATCTTTATACTTACTTTTCATTTGTTATTTTATTCTTAATGCCAATTTAAAAAAAAAACGTTGTAAGCAGTGCATTCCTATTTTGTTATATTTCTTTGCATTAAAAATAAATATGAGATATCTGTCTTAAAATGAAAAATCCTCATATCGATCCGAGTTAAATGTAAAGGATAATTAATGAAATCTAAAAAATTTTTTCATTATTTCCTATTTTTGATTACGTTTCCTTTATATTAATGATTGGAAATAAATTTAATTTCACGTAGATAAAACGAAAGAAATTGATGGTATTTTCTACTTTTTTGCCCAAATGTAATAATAAAAAATTAGAAAAGGAAGGAAATTTCAAGATAGAAAAAAAGGAATAAAATAGATAAAAAACGACAGATATCCATTGAGGGGAAAAAGAGTCGGACACAATTTTTCTGAATGTTGCGATTGACTGCATGATCAGCTCCATCTTAATAGATATTTTCTTGTTAGACCCGGGAACTATAATCAATCCCACTATATATAAAATAATCATTCTTTCTTTTATAACCTTATTACCGTCGCGTTTTATTCTATTCTATTAATAAAATAAAGGCATTTATATGGAAATAAGCAAGGCTACTTATATGGAAATTTAAATTTCATCTCTACAGTGAGATAACTTATTATATAATTTGTTTTACAATATTTTTAAATTTCTTACAGAATCTAATATTATAATATTCAACCTTTAAAAAAATATCTTCACTTTTTTATTAAACATTTTTAGAAAATATCTTTTATATATTGTATTGACATTTTTATATCATGTCGAGCAAAAAGCAGTCTATATATTCATGTATAATTTATACATACGTCATATGTACGTATATATGTATATGTATGTATTCCCTCGCAAGTCATGTACATATACTTATTGAGACATATATATATTTATATGTATTTATATATTCATATAAATACACTATATATATCAATATATCAATATATCAATATATAAATAAATATATATATATATATATATATATATATATTATTCAGTAATATTAATTATATATAATATTATTTGCGCACGTACATAATATTGTGTGTATGTATATTTATCAAGAGAAAGAAATCGATGCATTTTTTTGTGCATCGCAAACAAGTTAAACAGTTACGTGCTGCCATCTAAAGTAATCTTTCAATATCACATGCATATCTCTCTCTCTCTCTCTTTCTTTCTAAAAAAAAAATCATGATAATGGTAATAAACTTTTATAAAATAATAAGTCATTCAGTCATAAAAAATCAGAAGTCAATCAGAAATATTTTATAGACAAGAAATTAAAATTCAATAAGCTTTTGATTGACGCGCCATTTTTAATAACGTATTCTTTCGATATGAAGTGTGTTTACAATTAGCATTATTACCTAAAAACATTGTTCATTGTCGCCCGTCCAACAATCGTAAAGAGAAAATATGCTAGTATTATATTCCATAAATCTATCTATTGCCGTTTTTTTCACTGATTTTATTTTATATCCGAAAAATAGCACGATACATATACATACGCATTTTATTAAAAAAAGAATTCCAATATGTGTGCTTTACTTACCGAATTCCAGCACATCGCGCCTCACTCGAAACGATGAAAAACAGCATGGCCAAAAGCACACACACCCACACACAAGTTCGTCACTTCGTCCGCGCGCGCGTTTCCAGGAAAACACTATTTTAAAACAGAATCCTACACGCCTCCTCAGAATTATTATATTTCGCGGTAATTTCACCTCTCCGTTCGCCTTCGAAACTCCGATCGTCCCGCCGATGACGCCAAGTGCGCCGCGACCGCGCGCATGCGCTCCACGACCATTACCGGCGCGAAGTTGGCGTTGACCGCACTAGCGACGCCGCGCGGTGGCTCGCAAAGGCTCCAGTAGCTCGCCATGTTTTTTACTGAGTGGGGTGTGTAGAAGAGAGGCCGGGGTGAAATCATCTCTCGAGGCATGCAGGTACGTTTAAGAATTTTGCATTTCTCGTTATCAAGGTGGACACGCGTGTCCGGATACGTGCGTTCGCGCGATTCCCGTCGCGATTCTTGGTTGCGAGCGATCGCGTAACCGTCGCGTTTCGTAACGTCGTCACATCGCGCACGGGCTCATGCGTTCCGGGCAAGAGGTATGACTCAGGCAAAACTATAGCGCAATCGGCAAGGTTATTTGCATTACATATATCCGTCCCTTTGCCAACAACTCGCACGCGCGGATACGCAATTGCGTCGCTCGCCTAAATCCGCGCTCGTTCGTTCTCTCTTTCTCTCGTTCGCTCGCTCGCTCTCTCTCCCTCCCTCTCTCTCACTCTTTCTCTCTCTCCCTCTCTCTCTCTCTCTCCCTCCCCCCCTCTCTCTCTCTCTGCGCGTTGTGCATTCGCAATCCTCATGGCGAGATAACTCCGAAGAGATCGATGTATATATTGCGTTTTGTTGCACACGTCTGCATATCTATAGATAGATAGCACGTCTCTTTGACAACAGTCACAATGGTCTCGAACATGTGTAACGTCGCGATTCTATTTGCATATGCGCTGCATGACTTCTGGACCTTGGTCTTTGTTTCTCCGCCTTCTCGCAGTGCACGTTGGCAAAATTTATTATTCTGTACACTGTGATGTATAGAGTGTTGTCTATATATGTGGCAGCTGACGTATTTCTTTAAACGGTTACCAACAAATATTAATATGTTAAGTATTATAAAGTAGAATATTTCACATAGAATATATCACGGAAATTTTTACAGCATTATTGATGTAATATGATTTAATATGAATAAATAAATAAACTTGTAGAGATATTTGTAACTTGCGCTTATCTATAATTATAATTTAATTTCATTGTATTCGTATAACAGATTGTCGAGTCATAGAAATTAATTACTCTTATGAAAAGTATAACTAGCTAAGAAGTTCTGAGAAAATATAAATAAAATAATGAATGAGATAATATTATTTAGATTTTGTATATAATATCGAAAAATGTTAATTATAAATGAAACGATATGTGCTGTGGTAGCAAAGCGATTATTTATATAATTTTTATTTGTTAATTTTCAGTGTCAAAATGGGAAGGAGACTATACTTGTTATCCTTCACTAAGACCTGCCAGCCTCACTTTAATGATATATCCACCACCCATGCACAAGAACTAAATAATTTTTAAACAACGTAACAAACTCTAAGAAACGCTAATAATATTTCCGGGCAATTAAGAAATTTAATGTGAGAAATTTAAAACAAGAAGCGAAGAAAACGTTTGATAAGCCCGTTTGATAAGTCCAAGCGTTGCGGTGGTGGATTCTGTAAAATTGAAAAATTAAAGGACAATAATAAAATACCTTACTGTATATACGTGAGTTTGAATTTACATAGATTTTAAAGGGTTGTTGATTTTAGTGAGACTCTTCGTTGAAATGTTGACGTTATAAGATGAATGTAATCCATGAATCATGATTATAATTTGTTGTAGGAGAGAAGATGATCACCCTGGAGGTAGTGGAGTTGGTTAGAGTTTCTGGGTCTAGGAGGAGATTTATTAAAAGGGAATGAGGAATCCGGCATTGCATTTGATCGGGATAGCGGCGTCCCCTGGAGGAGGAGGTGAAGTCTTTGGTTCGCGGGCCGAGGAGGAGTTGCGCCAGTGGCTTGAAGCACGCCTGGACGCATTGGGGATTGACCCTGTTGCGTACTCGCGATTTGTGCTCAGCCTATTGCGCCGCCCCGACTCGGCCCTAAGTCCTCCAGAAGAGGCAATTGAGCTAGGTAGAGGCACAGGACGTCGCATACGTGCCCGATCTAAAGCAAAGCTGCCAACACATGGTGACAGGGAGCAACGACGAGCTGTTGTGCAATGTCTGACAAGTGCCGCTGACGACGTGAGTTTAAAATATAATTTTTATTAAGGAAATCTTTAATTTAATCTTTAATTAATATATAAAATCTTTAATTTCTGTTTCCTAAATTGATACGTTATATGATAATTACATGTAAAAAATAATATTTCTCCTATGTATAGAAATACGGAGTGGAAACACTGGTTGATGAATTGTGTATAAAATTAAAAGAATTGGAGGGAGGAAGTTCGCATGATGAAAAAGAAGAATCTAAAAAGTCCAGTGATGAACCCAAAACGAATTTAGAAGCGCTCACACCTCGTGATAGAGCTCTTAGATACTACGCAGCATTCCCATCCTTGGAATCTGTATCCATCAAAAAATTTTCTCTCAAAAATTCTGCCAATAGCAACAATAATAAAGACAACGGAATTAATTTGCATAATAATAAAAATAACAGTGCTTATAATAAAAAAACTAAAATGTCTATTGTAAGTATAACACTTCCTTATTTATTTGGCATTTTATTATCAATATGATAAATTATTTTCTTTTTTTAGAGCATTGAATCACAAAGATCAGAGGATAAAGAAAGCTTCGGATTCGTTAAATCAATGGAACGGGAAAGGGAAAAAGAACGCGAATTGGAACTCGATCAATTAAGATTAGCGCAGCTAAAGGCAAAGTTTAATGAAAACTTGGAGGCACTTTGGAATTCAGTACCAGGCAATGCGCAGGACACAGCTTCAATATGGGCAGCTCCAACACTTTCCATTCCTTCTGGACCTCTATGGCCAACAGACACTACCAAGACAATCTTTACTTTACCTATTTCAAATAACGATTATTCTACTGACACACCAAATCAAGACTCAATTGTTGATGAATCACCGCTTATCCCCTGGGATATAGATCTAATCAGCATTGAAGATAATGCAGATGAATACAGCAATAAAAATACAGCAGGTCAGACAAAAATATATGTGACGACATATAATTTATGAATAATACTATTAAAAAATTTTATATAGAAGAAGAATTTTTAAAGAATTTTTAATTGTTTTTTTTTGTTTTTTTTTTGTTTTTTTTTATTAAAAATTCTTATGTATTAATGTATCATTACAGAATACAATATAAATTGGTCAGATTCGGTTACGGATGGACCCTGGTGCTGGAGAGGAATCGATAGCAACTTAGCTACAGGCTTGTATTGTCACAATCCTCAGACTGGTAGTTGCTTCTTTCCAATAGCATCATGTAAAACTCCAATTGGAACTTGCAAACAGTCTCGTTCGAGTTTGAAGGTAAACAGCCTTCCCGAACCAGATGAAGATTTATTGACTTCCATGCGTACTCACTTTCGTCCGATAAAGGACGATGGTCACTGGGCAGATGGGACAACGTTTCCCGTAAACAATACAGTAGAACGAGTTGCCTATCGCAGATCCGAATCAGGAAACTTGCTGTATCTTCCTGGCGGAGAAAGCCCTTATATGGAGTACCGGGAGAGCGATGCGGTGATGCCACCCGTGTCTACGAATTTAACGTTGAAGTTTCGAGTGCGTCAATGCGACAAAGGCGTCCAAACCGAGCCCATACGATCTCCGGTCAAACGTCGTATCCTTTCCGAACAGGATCATTTTCGCTATTCCCCGATCGGAGCTGAAGATGCTACTATACTTGAACAAGAAAATATCGAAAAAGATTCCTTTGATTCGGAATGGCCTCAACTTAATTGGGTACAATCAAGTGTACCTCTGCACAATGATAGAAAAAGGTAATGAATATAGTTATAAAATATATGTGTCATATATGCATTGCACAAATGCCTCAGTTACATAAAAATTGTAACATAATCGTCGTAATTGCAAATACTTATGAAGTAGTTTTACAAATTAATTAATTGGTTTTTTTTATTATTATTAAGTGAGTGGAGTCGACCAAATTGCCAAACTGGAATTGCCATACGAGATTTGCAATACAATACATAATCGTTACATTTCAATTGGGTAATAACAAAAAAAATGATTATAAACAACTTATATTTCTAGTGCGAAAGATAAATATTGATATATGTGTGTTTATTCTAAAAAATTTAATTAATATTAGATAATTAAATTTAAATAATAGACTAAATTAATTTAATATAATCTATGCAATAGGTATAACATTTTCATTGGAAAATATTTGAATGCGTTTTGATCCTTCAAAAAATGACATGAGATCAATTTTTCTTTAGAACAGGACTCACACATGTTAAAAAAAAATATGCAAAGAATTACAACAGAGATTTTGCTACTTAGTAATTGTCCTGAATTCAATTGCAATTCGAAGATATATTGATAGTTTGGATAAAACTTTTACAGACACAATTTAGTTTTGTCACACAATAATTGTATGTACTCTAATTATACATGATATCTTTTTTCTGATAGAAGGCACAGTAGCAGCTTTGGGTGCCAGCCATTGACGACTTTGCGTCCTTTGACCTTGTGAACTGGATAATGTAAGCTGCTAAATAATTCTATATGACGGAGATTTGAGGTTTAGCTATATATACTTTTTTTTCGCAAAATAAAGAAGCGAATGATAGGTGCGTGAATGGGGGTCCTCTTGGCATGTGGAATTTGTTATGCATGTATCCAAGAAGGCACGAGTAAACCCCATCGTCACTCGTAATAAGCAACATGCAATCGAATACAAAACGAAACGCGAGGATATTAATTATTCATTTAGATAGTTATTATTAACCCTCTTTGTGAGATGAGTAAAAAGGAATGAGAAAAAAAAGAAGTGTGTACACAATGTTTCACATAATGTCTCACGTTGCAAAAACGTTGAAGACTACGAATAACTACGAGTGATTTAAGTTGTAGATTGTTGATTACTTTGTGATTTTTGAGGAGAGAATTTAGTAAGCTGGTTTTTTTAGAAAATTGTAGCAAGCAGTTTTGTTTCTCGTCTAACGTGCAAGCTAAGAGTATACTTATTCAATTTTTATTGAAAAAAAAGGAAAAATAATGGGTGTTAAAATTGAAAATTGGAGACAAATTCGAAAGGATAGTTGAGTACTTATTTTAAATGCTGCACGTTGCAAATCGGGTATTTAATTAAAGTGCTGTTCTATTTTCTTGTTGTTTTTTCGTAATTATTAACGGATTATCTTCTTAATCTCGTATTCTCCTAATTATAATTTAACTCCCTAGAAGATTAATCCTTCCCTCTATCCTCTTTTCCCTCTCCCATCTTCCACATCTCCTTGTATCCAATGCTTTCCCTGTGCTCACCCTAAGAAAATCGAATAACTGAGAATGTACATGTAAAAAAAACGTGTAATTTGAAAACACATGCTTACCTCATGAAAGAGGTACGCAAGAAAAAGAAAAAAAAATACAAGAAATGTTACTAGTATGCAAATGCCTTAGAAAGGAATGTTGAAAGATGTTAATGTGTCCAAAGGAAGTGTATAGCGTGTATAATTGACTTTGTCTTTGAGAGGGATGATTTAAGAATGTGCAAGAATCGAATGTTGAAAGATGTCAATGCATGGAATGTGTCAACACTTATAACTGACTCTTTGTCTTCAGGAAATGCTATAAAAGAAAATGCAAATAAAAAAGTGGAACGAACAAAAATATATTTGCGCGATAATGTATGGAAAAGGACAAATTAAAGGCATTGCGAACATTATACATAATTTTGAATCTTCCATCTCTTCACATATTTATTCATCCAAAAAATCCGATTATATCCTCTCCTTTTATCAGGACAAATTATCTAAAGTCACAAACATGTCACAAGTACGATATATGCTAAGAGCATGCAAATTGATTTATAAAGTTACCATATATTACAATAACCGCTTCACTGTCACATCAATATGAAGATTCATAAATCTAAAAAACATCTTGAAAATCTTATAGAAAATTAGCATATTGTCTAAAAATAATTTTATATTTGTGCGATAATTTATTTTCTATATTTTTATATATATCTCCCGAATAACACGGAACTTAAAATCTTGATCTAAATTGCATTGATTTAAATCCATGTGTGGGAGCAGGATGTAAATTGAATCTTATTGGTTTGATTGCTTTTGTTATCTTAGATTTGGGAGATGTATCGTTACGTATCGCTATGTCGCTAACTTTCGCACGATAACGATAATACCAATATTCAAATGCTAGCGTGAGACAAGCAAAGACAATGCCCACGAAAATTACGAGGAATACTCCGCCAATATTATGAATACTGATACCATCGCTCTGATCATTTTCTAAATCGCAATTTTTCCGCATAGGATTATTCTTCCACCATTTGTCTTTCAACTTTTCCAATCTTCTCTTGTTCAATAGTATGAGGATTCTGCAAAAAAGATTGTTCTTCATAAAGAATATATACAAATATGTTTCCATACGTACGCGTTATTAAATTGATCCTTCAATGGTGATCCTTGTTGGACAGCGATAGCGTACGGTTTTCTCGAAAATTCTTCCCCGACTTGAGTTAGATCGCAATTTGTCAGGACGAGATATTTGACGGTCGAGGCATCTCCGATGAAAGCGAATTCATTATTCTCATACTGACCCTTACGTCGAATTCGTTTTAAAGCTTCGTCGATTGTGCTTGGAAAGCCAGCCTCTTTCATAGCTTGAAACATTTTTGTATACTTGTCGCTAACAGGATAATCCCAGACGGCGAGTTTCGCCCTTTCCACATCCGATAAGCTATCATTCAGGCTCATATCTTTCCAAATACTACAAAAAATTTGGAATAAGTTTAACTTGATAAAGAATTTCTCGCGCATGAAGCTGATGGGAAGAAGAGAAAAGATGACGGAAAGAAGAAGAGAAAAGATGACGAGAAGAAGAAGAGAAAAGATGACGGGAAGAAGAAGAGAAAAGATGACGGGAAGAAGAAGAAGAAGAGAAAAGCTGGCGGGAAGAAGAAGAGAAAAATTGATGAGAAGAAGAAGAAGAGAAAAGATTGCTTACTCATAAAAGCGAGATTCGATATTCGCCATCCTGTCAAAATAGACGTACGCCGGGGAATTTAACATAGGCGCATACTGTATTTTGTACTGTTTGCTAAGATCCTCCAAGGTCTCGATAGGTATTTCCAGTCTGGACACTGTGAGGAAAGCCGCCAGGTTTGCTGTGTAGGATGCGATGATGATGAATCCGAAGAGCCACCATGTGGCCGCCACCAATCTGCCGGATAAATTTTTCGGCGCCTCGCCGCCACCTTGAGGAGTCAGAGAAGTCATGCAAAACCAGAAGCACTCCCTGAGATTGAACTCCCTCTTCTCGTCGTCGTCTTTGTACTTCTCGCGATTGTTCTGATAGCTGTAGGGCGACCAGCGGTCAAACGTCCACATGAGGAAGCTGGTGAAGAAGTAAGCCGCCAATATGCAGAGCCAAACGTCCCTCTCCAATACGGTGAGAAACTTGAAGAGCGACGTCGTTGTCTTCGTCTTCAGCATCATGATCGTCAGACCGACTAGATCGTAATAGGGCACGGTGAAATCCACGATCTTCTCTCGCTCTGCCATTACCCATATCGAGCCTAGACCGATATCGGCCCGCTTGTCTACCAGCTCCCTTATTATACCGTCCCAACTGCCGTTCTCGTTCAACGCCCCATACTGTCCATCCTCCACCTCGCGCACCTCGTATTCAAATGGCACGGTTTCGCGGATCGCATCCAGCAGGTCGATACAGAAACCGTACCAACGATTAGTCTTGTTGTTGTACATCATGAAAGGCGCATGCTGAATGGTAACCACCCTGTAGTTTGTTATCGCGCTGTTGTTCATGATGTCCTCGTTGGTGATCTTTTGGAAAATCGCAAGAGTTGTAAGTCCTCTCTTGTTCTCTCGTTATGCGTGAACAATCGACGTGTAATGTTGGATTACACGCAGGATGGACAGTGTCGTATCGGGTCGGCGCCGGCGCCGATGTGTGAAGAGAAGGTGGTGCGAAGCGAGCAAAACTAAATACGCAAATAAGGGCGAAGGGAGAAGGGGGTGCGAACTCGTGCGCTTTCGTGACGCGATATGTGAGTAAATATAAGTGCATGTGACTATCCATTCTCTGACCACCTTGAACTTTTTCCAGGGCAGATAAGCGATCGTCATTAGACGAGAGCGATGGTGAGGCAGATACGTGGTATGATATTAATAAAGGAAGAGCTTACGTCGAAAAATATCCCTTTTTTTCCCTCCAATGTAAGTGTAACTCATTTAATGAATATTATTGCGTTTGCATTTATTAACAAACAGTCTCTTTGAGAAGAGCAATAATTCGAAACACATGCCAGTTTTTTATACTTGAGCATTTCTGTATCTTTTTTAATTTATAGATTTTAGTTTATCATTTATATTACGCTAGACTATAGTGCAGGTCGAATATTTTTCGCAGATGACCAAACGTTAGATATAAAAGTCAAAATGCACTACAATACCATTTTAATGCAATTCCAATTCAATACGGCGACGAAATTGCATTTTTTGCGAATTATTCCTGAACGTATTCATGGAACATGGAAAAGGATAGTACAATGCGGACAAAAAAATATGATCGATCGCATAAATGCCGCTTGGTCAACCACGATGGTCAAGAGTGATCAATAATCCTTGGATATGGCACTCGAGAGAAATGGAAGAAAAATCGAAAAGGTCACACGCGATATTGAAAACATCTTCGTATTTTTCAACCAGGAAAAAAATTTCTTAGAATATATATCGTGTGCAAACGTAATCCCCTCGTTCGTTTAATATCGACAAATCGATTAAAAAGTAAAAAAAAGAGATGAAAAATATTACTAAATTAAATTATTCGATTAACACACATATACGCTACGTCTCGAGCAACTTGGACCTACTTGCACGGTCGTATCTATGCCCGCCTGCCATTCTCCGCTCTGTTTCCTCGACGCGATCTTTTCCCGTTCCATGTTCACCAGGTACATGAACATCTTAAAGTCCGCGCCGTGTTCTCCATTTTTTCTACCCCAATGAATACCGGCGTACGTCGGCGTCATATTCTTCGAGGTCGCCATCAATTTAGCCAAAAAGTCCAGGCCCCTCGTCGGCGTGTTGGTCTCGTTGTAGATGTTGCAATTGATTTGATGGGGTTCCAAGGGCCAGTCGCCGTTATCCAAAGCCGACTTCATCGCACGAACTCCCAACAAGGTCAAATCGTAATAGAAAGCGGATGTAAGGAACGTTTTCGGGAGTATCGTTCTCGCGACGGACTCCACCTCGCTTTGATTGCCCAACGTCGGCGATTGCGGCTTGATGTATAACAGGGTGATATTCTCACATTGACAGCTCGGCCATAATTCGTCATTCAAAGTCAAAACGAACCAGCCGTACTTCCGTCCGGTGAAGCTCAACGATTCCGCGATATCCAATACCGTATCGATGGATTTTTCGTCGCCCAGTAGAAAGTAATTGACTACATCCAAATCTCGCAATCTCATTAATTGCTCTTTAATTAATTCGTTCGAATTCTGCAGATTGTTGATGACGTGTCTGGTCGGCACGTTTAACAACAAACTCTTATACTTGTGATTCATAATGAAATTCTTATCGAAGAGAATGCCGGCATTCGTGATGTTCATCTGGATCGCCAGCTGACGGATTATCTCGGGCGCGAGATCGCCCGGTGTCATTACCTGAAGTGAAATTAAACTAAATCGGATCTTCTTGAACTGGACTTTAATAAACAAATGGTTATACATATTTCTAAATTGTTGAAAGCAAGATACATAAAACTATAGCTGACAAAGCACAAATCGGAATATATTAGACACATATCTGAACTCGCTTTAAATATATCAATGGACATGTAACGGCTCTGTTTTCTGTTAGCAGATTTTTCCATGTGTGCAACTAAACGCATTCTGGTACCTGGATCAAGTAATTTTTCTGATCAAGGTCCAGATCTCGCCAGTAGCGGATATCACCTTCCTGGCCGTATTCCGCGGATAAGGTCGGGATTCCCATGGCCGCGGTGAATGAATTTGATGCTTCGGCGCCCGGGCCGATTGTCGTCACGTCCAGGACCAGATCTGGGACGTTGGAGCCGCCTTTCCCGACGGCCGAGCCCCAGACGTCACATATAGTATCGAGACTCTCGCCCGAATCGTTTTCGTTGATTTGCACGGACCATACATTGCCTAGATGATCTGGATATTTCTCCTTCAGAGCCTTCAAGGCAGCGGTCACGCTCACGTTGGCCGCCTCGTTCTTCAGGCCATTAATTATAACTAATTGGGGAAAGAGCACATGGCATGCGAAAAAAAAGAAAAGAGATAAAATCGAGTCAGGCGATTAATCTTAAGATGTAACACTCTTAGGATACTATCTTAAATAGCTTGTTAATGAAAAGTTATAATCATCGCTATGAGAGAAAAGCAGTTATCGCGAGTCATTCGAAAAACTTAATGAAAACAGTTTAAAAAGCTGTTTCCATTTTCGCAAATGGAAGCTCTCTGTACATGTCTGTTACGTACTAACTGGATGTGACTTTTTTTTCTCTCGTGATGATTAATGTAACCGTTAATAACAATACGTCATGATGTCACATCGATCATAAATATTGTTACCGTCAGAAATTGTTATCGCTTTACGCAAGAAATATTCCAATCAAAAATTTCTACGGGATGGAAACCTACAGAGATTCACCGGTCTTGATCGCGTCGGTCTCTGTTTATCGCCTCCGCTCGATGCATCCTCTCCGTGGACCGTAAAAATCACCGATATAACGTACAACGTCATACAGGTCTTCGCGACGCAACGATCAAAAAGCATGATCAATCGAGCTTCTCCGACTTGAAAATTAAAAGCGTCGAACGATCACCGATATTTCCAAGGATATGACAAATCTATAATCAACTTGGTCCATCGAAGATATTTTCAGCAACACTAAGATAAAGATTAAAACTCGAAGTTATGTATATCACTTATGTCAACGTTCTTTCGTTCGATGGATATCGAAGGATATCGAAGGCGCATCGAGGGGGAAAACGCGCTAAAGTTAGTCGCTTCGAGAAAAGTGCGCTCAATTTCCCGCGATTAATTGTTACTGCGTTTATATCGAGGTTAATAATCGTCAGTTCGATCTCGAAGTAGGCGTATGGAAGTAGGACGCTGGGTCGGCAACACGGCCTTCACGGTCCAGTTATACAACTCGAGGATGAAAGCGATGGTAGCGATGACCGTTGTTACGCGGCATCGTCGGCTTACGCTTTCCCTCAAAATAATCTTTCCTCGGATTCGTCATACGCAGTCCGAAAACTTCGAAACGAATATCGCACGGTCAGTTGTCTACTGGCGAAGTGGTAAGCAGGTGTCTCGCTCTAAGGTGTCCTACGGTTTATTTGTGTTTGTCCATCGGTTGCCGCGGGGATGACCCCAATCAATCGTCCTAGCCCATCAGCACACCTGTCATTTCTTCTTTTAATGAAAATCCGATGGATATATATCTAGGATTTGCAGCGCGTCGCGTTTCGAGAATCGAGAACACGCGAGCGATAATTACGAGTTAATTCCGTGCAAATCATCGCATGTTTTACAACTCTAGGAAATATTTTCTTGAATGCCTAGATTAATCGTCTCGGGAGAGCTTATCAAGAATGAAATCTTGATAATGAAAATATACAAGCGCGAGCTGCGTGCTGTAATAAAAGGAAAACGTAATTATTATAGAAAGTGCTAATAGGAAGGAGCATTATAATTAACGTATTGCATTATTAATTATGATTTCGATCCTGAATATTTATTTACACAAATGATCAGCGATGGAATTAATACCATTGAATCAGGTTGGGAAATTGTATTTGCTCGAAGCAAATTGATCGAGAATGATGTTAATGATTTGCACGCGGTGAAAAAGTGACCTCTCGTACGCGAAAAGAGATACGAATGCTAGAGGATTTGCATTTACGCATTACGGTTGTCGGGTCGGTGTAATCGATCATTTCCATTTCATTTATTCGCTGTTTTTCTGAAATCGATTCAGCCTTTGCGAAAAGGACTCTACTTAGCCAGTTAAGTGTGCTTTGATTACCGTTCGTCCTTTGCGTTCGCTTTTTCATATATCTCTTTGAATCGCAATAAATCTGATCTTTTTTAAAAAATGGAACGCGCTCTCTATCTTGATAACTTTTGGAAAAATTTATAGCTACAGAAATATAAACGAAAACGAAAAGACTAAGCAATTAACGTTCAAATAATCGTGATAATCATTTTGATGTCTATTTTGATAATTTTATATATGTAGATATGTATCAAAATACATATATCAGAAAAATTTTTAAATGAAAAAGCAAGAACTGTCAAAGAAGCACGAAGACAGTTTTTATGTGTGTTTAGGATCGAATGAAATATCCAGGTACAATAGCAACGGCAATGACAACATTGTATTCCTTTTCCGGTAATATAACTGCCATCGAAATAAATCACCACTGCAAAAATGATTTATAATTCGTCAGAGTGCACATTTTCGCTCAAATATTTAGTTTATGTACATATAAATTGAGATTACTTTATCATTTTAGGATAGATGACTTTACCTTACCATACATCTTTGTTTTTATTTTAACAGCATCTGTATTTTATACACGAACAACATTGTTAAAAATGATTGCGCGATATTTTTTATACATTTTTAAATATATATTATATGTACAAATAATATAATATATTATATAATAATATTATTTGTAGATATTGTATATAATATATAAATAATTTTGTTTCATTTTTTTGACAATCAGAAAAATTACTTTTAAGATCGGCTGTTATTTAAACCACGTCACGCGAACTTATATCAATCGATTACTATGCATTTCTTACACGCAAATCAACCGGTTGCAAAAAAAATATATATAGTCGAAAACTACATTCCGTGGTCCAGTAATTTATAATTGCGCGATAGGAATTAAACTCCGTCCTTGACACACATGGAAGCTAAGCTCGTGGTTAACGAGCAAGCGGGGATTAAAAATCTCATGAAACGTATAATTTAAGCACAATCAATTCGGAGCCTTGTAATAAGTCTAACTCCATCGTGGACGCCGCGGCGTCAAAACGTCAGATACTTGTCAGATACAAAATATCGCGTGTGATGGTGCTATCAAACGATATGTTATTATAAGGCAATTATTATTATTATTATTTTCGCCATTAAAATTGGAGATCATTATCTTAGATAAGAAATAAATATTACGATCAACTTTATATTGTACATATCTACTTATGAATCTAACATGGGTAGACATTAATTTCCGCTCGCTCGGTTTGTGACATCCAGATATTTAAGATATTAATATCAAAAATATCTCACACGTGTCAGATCGAAACCTTTTTCGATTTTAATGTCGTCTGCCAGCACTATCATTTTTTCTTGGACGATTTTTGACAACCTTTAGAAATCATAGCTTGTATATAATTCTAAATATAAAATATAAAAAATGCAGTTAAATTTCTCACATAAATATCATTAATTTATATATATATATATATATATATATATATTATATGTAATTAAATATAATATATTTAATTGCATATAATTTTATATTTATTAACACATCAAAATTATATAATATTTTTTATATAATATTTTATATAATATTTTTTTTGCGAATTTTTTCACATTTGAATGCCGTTTTTCAGCGACGCAAATATTATAAAATTACATTATTCGTCGATAATAGAAATTGCAAATAAAAAAAATACATACATGTTGAATTTCCTTTTTAAACGATGACCTTCTCTTTCTTCGGAGTATTTTATTTGTCGAATGGTTAGCATCTATTATATAAATGTAAATTCGCGAGATTTATTTTTCGTGCATTATTCCCAGCATTATTCTGAATGGCGGGTTTTTTCTTTATCGCATTGTAAATCTTCATTGTACTTATCCTCGACCGTACAATCGTCCCTTAACCCGTCTTTTTCATAATCCGACATGCTCTCATATAAAAACTCATTTGTCTTTACAGAGTGCAAAATTTCTGCGACCATCAAAATTGTCTGACTAAGAGCATCTCTACTATGATTATTTTGCACTTTTTACATTGTTGCGAATTAAGGTATAAACAGTCACTTAAAGTCCTTACGAGTTTAGTACTTAAATTGTTAATAATTAAATGCATCGTTGACTCTCTTATCATATTTAGAAACCATATAAACTTTTAATTGTTCTCGCGCTAAAATGTAAATACGTTCTATAATCGCCTTTTAATGAAAGTGTTAATAAGGATTATATAAATATGAAAGCAAAGCTTATCCTCCGAATTTCACACATACATTAGCAGCAGACTACGTAATTAGAATGATTCTCGCGGTTACGAAATAATTAATTAAATTCGACAATATTAACGTTAATGCTTTTCAACAATTCATCTGTACAGAATATAGGTATAATTTAGCTTTATATATATCAAACAATAACTTATTAGAACGAAATACGGGAGGCGAAATACATTCGATTTCGAGGCAATTTAATACGTAGATAACTTGATCAGTCGTGCATACATTTTGCATTATTTCGATAAATTGATCATTATTTTCTTTCTCGTTTTTACCGAATAATGACACTAATTATACAGAAATATGCCATGAAATACGAACAAGTTATTCTCTCATATATAAAACGTTTGGTCTTCATAATTATTTGCGGCGTTTTTCTGTGACACGAATGCATAAAAAAATAATATCACGGCGGATATTATAGATTCACAATCATCATTGTTTGTTATCGGGGATCCTCCATAATATTTTGTCGGGAGATTTTCCTTGTGTCCGCTGAAAATATTGACTCGGCATGGCTTGTTGTAAATTTTATCGCGCAGCTATATATTCTCACTATTCGCCTCGCGCATTCTTATATCGATTCTCTTCTAGGAATCATAAAAATTCATCGCCTCTTAATCTTAAAATAGTATATATATACATTCTTACAGGGTCATTGAGATTTATATACTATTAATCAACGATAAAAGAAATTGTAGGCTATCGTTTGCGCATTTTAGCATTTATCATACCTATCAAGATTAATCGAAGAGAGGATCGATATTCGATATAGAAACGTATACGTGGCAAGATTTGCATTGTACAATAGTTTCCACGAAGACTCGCTTTGTTTATCTTGTTATTCAAAGGATATCGAATCCATCATCTTTGTGTCTGTTGGGCGAACAAGCCCTCGCTTATTGTTAAGCTTGTCAAAGAGACATCTTTGATAATAATTCGACGAGTTAGCACGGTTCACGGGACTTTCTGAAAGATAAACAGATTCATATGCTACCAATCAGTCCCGACCAGGCAGTCTGTATTTGCGAAAACTATTGTAGACCGAGACACGATGACGTGATGAAGAGGTATTAATGGATATCGATTGATGCTTGATATTTATAATCGATATCAAACGGAACCAGGAGCTCTTTCTCAAGCTGATAAAACGTAAATGTGTCTTATCCATGTATGCCTATCCATGTATATATTGGATATGTTTTCATAGGACGAAGGGATACGTTGAGATCGACGTGGCGAGAAATGCGACAGCGAAATTCAACCAGACAGCTGATCACGAGAAACCGCAAAAACACTGGTAGCCTTGTTGAACTATTGCACTATGATTGTGATATCCTTGTATAAGGATAGGTAAGGACATTAATAGACAAAGAATCTTCATATAAGTCTAACAACTCAGAAGTGGTTACTGGACATTTTGGACGAAGATGAATATATCAAATATGATATTTATGCAAATAAATTAAACGACAATTTAAGGAATTTTATCGAAAATTGCTGGTCTCTCATCTTTCATTTACATTGAGAAAAACGATATGTAGGATTAATGCTAACGATATATCTGTCGCGGAGAACTACACCATAACGGTTTCATGACAATGTTCATCGTACGCAGACCTTTTGTTATATCAGTCCATTCGGCACAAAGTCTTTGTCGCTAGATTCTCTTACGTCAAAGTCGAAATTCGAGATCTCCACCGTCACGTTTGGAAGATCGATACGGTAGTCGTAACAGGTATTACCGCTACCGTTATACATGACGAACGTATAGAAAGCCGTTTCTACGTAATACCGCAAGCTCGTGGTAACGTTCATCTTGTGAGCTTTCAAGCCGTTAATTATATTAGAAACATTCGCGTAAGATGTGTAATATGACGTTGGTGAGATCTGCAATTTAATATGAACCATGCGGATAATTGCATTTAAGTTAATTCCTGTTTATACAGATCTCTATTAAAATTAATTAAGTGAGACGTATCAATTTATGAGCAGACAATAATGTATTTCTTAAATAATAATATAAATTTTGTACATATATTATATTTCTTAAAATAGAAAAATAGTCAAAAGTAAAACTTTTTTTATATAATGATAAATAATCTAAGAGACTT